TTTAGCAGCTAGCTTTGCAGCGCTCTTAATAGCGGCCTTACAATCTACTAGGTTCAGTTGTTTAACAAAGCGGCCGTGCTTAATCTTGTTAAGTGGCTTAGTAAAGCCATCGGCTATCTGATTATATATGCTAACCTATTAGACGACAATAGTACTATTAGCAATCTTCTCTCGAATATAGTAGACACGAGCATCTATATGCTTTGTGCGGCTATTAATGCTAGTCGACTTGGTAATAGCAATAGCGGACTAATTGTCCTCGTAGAGCGTAACTAGAAGAATATAGCCCTTATAACCAATTTCCTTCAATAAGCGAGCTAAGGCAACTGCTTCCTTAGCCCCTATAGTAAGTTGAATATACTTAGCTTCAGTTAATAACAGTGTAACGAGTGTCTAGCGGCCGGACTTATACAATAGAGGTCCGCCTATAATAGTAAAGTAGAAGCCGCCTATAGAGCGGCGGGTAACTAGATCGTTAGCCTATAAGGCGTTACAGTAACTAGCGAACTTGAGGTCGTCTTCGTTTAGGTTGCCTTAGAAGCGTATACTACGGCTAAGGGTGCTAGCTAGGTACTCAATTAGCTAAAGAAGCGCGGTATAATACTCCTCGGTCGGGTTGGAAATAAATCGTAATAATAGGCCGGTAGTGTAGTAAGCATCCGGCCGAGTAATTATTGCTAGCTAGAGGGCTTTACTAACACCCTCCTAATATTAAGCCTTAAAGGCGGCACTAGCTATATAGCCTTTAGGTGTACGCTAAATCGATGTCTTAACGTATCGAGGCGCTATTAGAGTAGCTAGACTAATACGGCTACGTATACTATATTTCTTACTAAGCCTATTTAGATAGGCATCCTAAACGACATAGATAGTACGCTAGTTGCGGTTACGGATGATCCGTATACCGAGATAGTAGTGCAGGTCACTAAGTTCTCGCATGTTGAATCGGTCCTTTAGCATCTAAGCAACGGCTTCTAGTACTAACAGGCTGTAGGCGATAATAATTATATCATCGACGTAGATAACGATAATCGAGCCGCTAACAACGTGTTTGAATATACATACGTCAGTCATTATTAGTACAAAGTCTAGGCTCTTTAAGTACTTCCGAAGCTCTTTATACTATAGCATTAGTAACTGCTTCAGACTATACAGTGCCTTTAGTAATAGGCAAACTATGCCCTTGCTACTACGGTCCTTAAAACCGTGTAGCTGTTCAACGTAGATCTTGTGCTTGTCGCCGATAAGGGCATTAAGGAAGGCAGTTAGGATATTATACTGTTTAGCCTCTAGGTCGTAATAAGCAATCAAGCCAAACAGTGCTCGCAGCGTAGATAGCTTAGCGATAGCCGTATAGGTCTCGTTATAATCCTGTCCTTCAACCTATGTAAAGCTACGGACGACCTAACGAGCCTTAAACCGGCTTAGATTGCTATTAGCGTCTCGCTTAATAGTAAAGACCTATCGGCTACGGACAACCTTGCGACCTTCAGGCACCTCTAACCGAGACATATATACCTATATATAGTTGTCGATTAGTGACTTATACTTAGCCTTATAGGCCTCCTTCTACTATAGCTAATATAGTAACTAAGTCGCCTCCTTGTAGCTCTTCGGAATAGGAATAGTCTCTTTAGGCTTATCAGACTGTTTAGCAATATAGTAGGAGGCTATAAAGCCCTTAATATAGGCCATCGGTATGTTAGCTAGTTAGCGGCGCGCCTTGCGTTAAACACCGGTATTAGCTAGGTACCTACGTAAGAGGTTACGAGCTAACTTGTTGCTCCGGGTCTTGCGCGTAGAACGATTACTAACAGCCTTAGCAGGTCGCTCAAACTTAGGCAACTAGCCTGGCTCGCCCTTCTTAGCGTAAGGATCGTATATAGGCTGTTCCTTAGCGGATTAGAAACTATCCTTATTACTTAATAGAGGTTGAATAGCCGGTAGGTTATCCTCGAGCGGCAATGGATTAGCGACTTTATTAGCCACCTCCTAAGCTGGTTCTTCTAAAGCATCTTCCTATTAGGCTAGAAGCTACTAGACTACACTAGCGGCTTCCTATAGCGACGGTGCCTCGTTGCTTATAGAATTAAATAGAGCCGGCATAACCGACTCGAGTGTAACAAACTCGTTCTTAGCTAGGTTATTAGGATTGGCGTATAGTATTATGCCCTCTAGAAGCGACAACTCCCCTAACTTAATAAACTTGACATCCTTAGAGGCAATAACCTTGTGCTAGTTAGGAAGATAAACTATATATTTTCCTAAGTCCACTAAGCCCTTAGTATAGCTAACCAGTTTGCTAATAAGACCTCTACTATCTATCTTCTTTCTACGAGCAACTTCGTAATCGTATATAATAGCAGTATAGCTATAGGTACGAAGATGTTAAAGGCGTAGCTACTTCCGAGACCAATTAAGCTCCCTAGCTACAATAGCATAGGGGCTAAGACCTTCTAAGGTTCTAGGAGTAATATTGAGGACCTATATAGCAGTAGTAACTATATATAGCTATAGGGCCTTTAGCAAATTAGCGTAGAGCATTATCTTCCGAGCTGTCGTGTATACAATGTAATTGCTAACCTTAGCAAGTCCGTTCTAAGTGGAAGAATAAGGCGCTATAACCTGCAGTACAATCCCTTGATTACGAGCCTAGCTTAACAGCTAGTTTCCGCCGTATTCACCCCCTCTATCGAGGCGGTAGATTGGGATCGAATAGCTAGTCTGTATACGGACGTGTATACGGTAGTCCTTGATTGCTACTGCAGCCCCTAACTTTAGTAAGCTAGTATACTCGTATCGATAGGCTAACTTAGCGTATATAAACAATGTAAAGTAGCGCTCTTGTAGCAGACTAGGGTTGGTAATAGTAACTACATCTATATAGACAATGTAATAGATCGTGGATAGTCGTACGCGTAGCAGCCGATTGTATTCCTTATATAACATAGCTATGCGATAGGCAATACAGTTGCGGAAGTCCTTCTTAGCACTAGTAATGACAATTTGACCCTTAGATTCTATCCTTAGTAGCTTGCGGTAATGAATATAGCTATATCGCAGATGCCATTCATCTATAGTGCCTGCAGGCACCCCCTTCTTAGGCACCCCCTTTTTTAACACAAGGGCAACTACCTTACTATCTAGACTAGAGGTTGGTATATAGAGGTAGGGAAGACTATTCTTACGGTATGTCTAAGCAATAGTAACTTCCGAGCCGTTAATAATAGTAAATAGTACGCGCTTGTTATTCCGATAGAAACAGCCCTTATCGGCAAGCTTCTTAGTAGACAGGAGGTTAGCTGCTAGACCTAGCACATATAGTATATCGGACAACTTCATGTTGCTTATACTACGCTTATTGACAACCTCAGTTTAAGCTATACTAACTATCGTAGCGTGCTTCGTATTGCTACTAAACCGGACAGGAATGTAATAGCCTTTATATTTAATAAGCAATAAAGGGTCGTTAACTATATGTATACTAGTACCTAAGTCGACAACCTAATTAGTAGTACGAGTGCTAGTAGTAAGAGCCGTAGAAACCTAGTCGCTAACAGTAACTATAGTGTTTGCAGTAAAGGCGTAATTGTAGTTTAGGTCTAATAACACCCCCAGGGTAGTATTAGCCGTATATAGGCCCTAAGCACTATTCTAACTAGATAGTAGTTGCTGTTGCTGCTAAGCAGTTAACGCCTGTTATTGCTTCTTCTTAGCCTTCTGCTTCTCGCGACGAAGACGGTCTTCTTCCTTTAGGTAAGGGTATTTGGTGTAGCACCGATCGGATAGGTAAGCGCCTTAGTAGTATAAGCACTTCTTACGATTCTAACCATTCTAGTTGTTTCTACTACGACTACGACTATTGCTGTTTCCGCGGCTACTACGACCGCTATAGTTCGAGTTACCTCGACCGTTGTTATTGCTATTGCTACCTTGTTGTTGTAGTTAGCGCTAAAGACCAAAGAAGCCGTTATATTAGGCCTAGTTCAATTGAGCTATATTCTTATTAAGCAACGCGCTAATAATGTTGTTAAGTGTATTATCGTTAATAGTGTACTCGGAGGCGCGCATCTGCTCTCGGCGTATCTATACGAAAGCCTCGTAGAATAGAGAGATCTATATAATAAATATATAGACAGCTTAATATTAGCTAATAGCTAATTTAGTATCCTTTAAGGTACCGAGCTTCTTCTTGTACTTATTGTAGAACTTCTCAATGTCCTTGCTATTATACCGAAGGGTAATATATTCCTAGTAGAGCATAAATTTAGTAGACCTACCTTTACTAGTATATTTCTTATATAGGTAAGTCTATACTTCCTGCGATGTAGCGAGACTAAGCAACGACTGCTAAACCTCGGCGATATAGTTAGCAAAGATCTACGTACGCGCTAATTGATCTTTTGCTTCCTATTTATCTTATCGGTCTTTAAACTCTAACTAAGTTTTAGAAGACAACTTAACATTAGGCTTTAGGCGGGTCCCTTAGATATAGCGCTATACCTATATACCTTTAAGAGTACCCTTAGCGGCATAAGACTATAATAGATAATTCTCTTTATTCTTTAGCTTAGGGATGTTGCTTATATAAGCGTTAGAGGTTGTAGGGGGAGCTATTACGGACAGCGACGGCGATAATATAGAAAGAGACTATAGACTTGTCTTAAGAGGCGGCCGATAGGCGCGCCTATATTATACGGCGGACAGCCGATACTATTGTTATGTAACCGACTCGAGTCGGACTAGCACCTGCTAGAATACTCGAGGGCGGCGGTAAGGGTAGCGGCGATAATATCGGTATCGGCGCAATTATTAGTAACGAGCGCTAACTACGTAGCAGTCGGAGTAACTATTAGAATACGTAGTAAACGTGTTGTATGCGTTGGAAACGTAGGGGGCTTATAACCACTTAATGTAACTGATGTATTCAGAAGAAGGACTATCTACGGAAAGTCCAAAGATAAAGTGCGGCAGTTGCAGCCTTAGGCATCAGGCACGTGATGGACCCTGATACCTGGACACACACTCCAAGTCAAAGCTCGTCGACCACTACCACATCAAAACCATCATCGACCTTCGCTCAGAGACCGAGCACATAGAGGCCGCCAGGAAGTCTTCCTCAAAAGTCCCTCCGACCCCTGCAGATCCCGCGGAAGCCAAGCCTTACAACAAGAAAGACCCAATGGCAGCGCTCCGTGTACCGGGAACAAAATACGAGTCCATCTCTCTGAATGGTCGGCCTTACACAAATGCCCTCCTCAAACAGTTATCTTATTGGAATGTTGCAAAGCTATTCACTTACTACAGCATTGGCTACCGCACTGACGCTATCTCCATTCTAGGCGAGAATGTCATGAACAAGCGGGGCCTGGTCGGTCTGGCAGAGGACAGTCTGAAATATAGCAAGACTGAGATCAAGTCTGTCTTTGATGTCCTGGCGGATTCGGCGAACTACCCGGTCTTGGTCCATTGCACGCAGGGCAAGGACAGGACTGGTCTTACCATTCTGCTGGTACTGCTCCTGCTTGGCCTCGATCAGCACGCGATTGAGAAAGACTATCTCACGAGTATCGAAGGCTTGGCAGCTGATCGCGAGCAGAGATTGCAGTCCGTACGCAGCATTGGTCTCAGCGAGGAGTTTGCTGGATGCCCGAAGGATTGGGTAGAGAAAGTGTCGGGTTACATTCAGGATGAGGGAGGTGCAGAGGAGTACCTTCAAAGCTGTGGTGTTTCCAGCGAACAGCTCAACGCCATCAGGAGCATTCTGGTGGGTGCTCCACAACAGATCAGCACCTGAGGCATGGGTCTCTGCTTTGCCAAGTTGCCAAGCCACGTGTCTGATGGTCAGCACAAGCTTCCCACGAACCGTTCTCAACCTCAACATACCTGACCATCACACACATCCACCAGGCCGATCCGATCAGTAGCATGGCTTCCACCAACAGATTTCTTACGAGCATACCTCTTGATCTACGCTATCTCATATATGAATTCGTTCTCCTCCCAAGCGAGGATTCGGCGACAGGTACCTTGCCTACACGACTGGACACAATCTGCCGTCAAATCAGAGAAGAGACCAGACGCATATACGCAAGCAGTCACGTACGTTCAGCGGTCTTCTCGAACTTTTGGTTGCCTGTTGATACGTGGCCAAAAGACGAGCGGCGCTTTCAGATCCCTCTGGCCAGCAATGAACATAGTGCCATAGCGTATGTCGCTGTTCCTAGTCTGTTCACACGCAGACTGCTGCCCAATCTCCAGAGCAAGACTTCAAAATCAAGACTGCTACATAATATAAGAGGTATTAGATATGGCACTGAACCTCGACGGTGCTTGACTCTTAAGGCCTGGGCACGCGAAGGATACGACAAGCAGGGCAGCATACATTTGGACCAGCGAGAATCGGTACTGCTGGACGTGGTCGTGCGCTTCAAGGTATACTCCAAACATGCACCACAACAGTACCAGCGCTTTGCCCAATGCCTGTTAGAGGAAATGCAGTCAGATGTGGAGATTTGGAGATTGATCAGGACTGGTTACTATCTCGTCTAGCTGAGGCCCAATTCTCTAGGCAAGCCAGTTGAGGAGCTTGAATTCAACCATCTCCTGTTGCTGACCTGGGGCTTTCCTCCGCTGATCTTTCCATTCAACCCAAGTCGCCAGGAGACGTCCGTCGTTCGCGAAAACCGATTCAGCCAACCAGTCATTCGTCATGTGCAGCTTACCCCAAACAGATCCACCTTCCGAGTCGGCGTCTTGCATAGAGACACAACCTGCCCGAGTTGCCCAACGACCGTCATGCGAATATGCGACAACCTCGTTGATGAGGTATGATTTGCACTCCTCCTGAGGAAATTGCATCAACAACAAGACTGCATGCTCGCTCTGCATGTCTCTCGGGATGAGAATGTCATCTTCCTTTTCAGCTCGCGGGCAATCTCCTTCGTGGCAGATACCACCGAGAGCTGTTTCAGAAGCAACGTCTTCCGCTGTTCGTCATCGAGATCAGGATTCCGCTTGCAATACATCCCGGAACGACCCGCAATTCTGGCGAGAAATTCCGCCTTTAGACCGGATGTGAGCCCATATTTCTGAATGTCGGTCTCCATATTGGACAGAGTCATAAGACCATCACCCCCTTTCAACTCATCGCAAAGGTCTGGAGGAATGCTGGAAACTGTCGCGATCACCGCAAGGTTACAACCATCGGTCAAACCATCGATCACAGGCTCCTCGAAAGCCATGTCTACAACCTGGAGGGAATCGCTGAAATTGCTCTGCTTCAGAGCAGGCTTTAGCGTGTCGAATACGATACTTAGGATGTATGCCGTATCGTAGGACGGTCCCTGGGAAGCGGAAGTCGTGGTCGTCGGGAGATAACAGTCATCCACGCCATCACGCTTCAGAAGCAGGACTTTGCCATCGATACTGACGACGAAGATTGTAATTGTCAGTGCCTTGATATGAGAGCCTCTGCTGAGCGCCCCTGACGCCTTTTAGTCATTAATAAACTGCTTTGGAGTCTTCGCGAGGTAATGGGAAGCCATTTCGCGTTCTTCACTGCCTTACAGTATTGAAGATCAGAAATACAAGACTGCCAAACTTTTCTACAACTTTGCCCGGGTGGATGGTCTAGAAAACGTACTAGAAGAGTCTCGGAACATCAAAATGGTCTCCTCCTTTAGCCTTTCGACAAGACTTCTCAGACGTATGCCTCGCCTAGAGAGCAGAGGAAGTTTTTTAGAGCAAGAATACAGGCCTCTTTGTGGGCGAATGTATACAATGCTGTTCGTCACAATGCTCCTGCTCGTCACTGCACGCCAGCAAAGCTCGCTGGAGCAGGAACGATGCCTGATCACTGGCTTGGCCTCACACCGCCCGCCTTTATCGAATATCTCATCAGCGAAGGCAAGCTTACCAAGGACTCTCTAGGTGCAGAGCTTCAAATCAAGATCTTCTTCATCGATCGAGAGCGCATCACAATCATGCGAATGCCGCCTGGGAATCCTGGAGGTACTGCAGCATGGCTGATGATAGAGTTTCCCACTAAGAAAGAGCACTCAACATACAGGAACAACAGCATCGGACACATCGTTGTCGCAGCAATGGAACTACCTTTGCACGCTTCTGATTCCCTCCAAAGCATCCAATTTCCCAACCTCGCCTTCGACGAAGCTGGATATCGAGCTGCGTATGGGACCTCAACGAGAACATCGATTGCATCTGGCTATATTGGTCGGCGGCATGCAGCATCACGTATCTCCAACCAATTGGCCTCCTCTGGACGACTACAAATTCGAGCCTCTGAATTACCTTCTCACTCAGACCATGCAGAACGATGATGTCACTCGAAATTTCTATCAAAACGTCATCAATCGAGCACGAAATTACCAGAATCCCATTTTCACCCGGTCGATGTTGCCAGCTGTGCGCAAAAAAGTATTCGTCCGAATGCTAGGGTTTGAGATTGCTGTGAGAAATCAGTTCAAGTCATCTCGTGGCATCGTCGAAGCAGCGGTCCTCCTACAGCGGCGATACCTCGACAACGTTCGTCGTCAATCTGCATCTGGCTGGGGTCTTTATGTGTGGCCAGTCAGTAAGCAGAAGCTACACGAGATGAGAGGCAGGAAGACGACTACGGTGTCTACGCCAAAGGCAGCACCCAGAATCTACGATATCGTTGGGTGGCTGGAGAACGATGAGACATCACCACGCGTAGAGTTGTACCAGGACTTCCACGTCGATGATTGCATCTACGTCGATTACCGGTTGGATCAGATGAAGATTAATTGGGTCAACTGGAGAGATTATATGTGCAATGAGCAGGGAAAAGAGGCAATGTTGGATGAATTCTCGGTTGTGAATTGGTTCAATCACAGATCTTCATCTTGCTAATTCAAATAAGAGGAGGCGGCACCCAATTGTTCAATTAGCTGCGCATGTGAGTCCTAAAGGGGCCGGTATTATCCAAACACCTCTGTTTTCGACATCCCATCACCAACCCCAACTCTCAATCCACATAATCCTCATCCCTCTTATCCCCATCCCCATCATCCCCCTCCTCCCCGGGAAACTCCCACTCTCCCACCCCAAAAATGCCCCTCTCACTCCTTCCCATCCCACTCCCCATCCCCTCCGTCCCCTCATCCTCAAAAACCCCTTTACCCGTGGTGGCCAATATCGCCGTCGCGTCGAACGTGAGGTGCAGCGGAAGTCAAGCCGAGCAGGCTAGCGGCAATGAGGTTCGTGAGTTGCATCTTCGGTGGAATCTAATGTAGTGTGAGGTTCAAGCGAGCGAGATTTCTTCCTACCTTCTTCGCAGAGAGCACACTCTCTTATGTACGAGCAAGCATTCCTACGACTGCCATCGCCATTCCAGCGGCGGTGCATGGAATTATGGAGATCCGTCAGAGCTCCTTTTCACTCACTCACTCACTCACTCACTCTCTGCAATCACGAATGCCTTTTTCTCATCAACGACCGACTGCCCAATTTGTTGCTGAAAACTGAAGCATCCATGTAATTCGAAGCGTATCTTCACATCGTAAAAAACTTATGCATACATCATCCCCCCTCCCTTCCTCAAATCAAGCAGCACTAGCACCCTTCCCCAAAGCCCCATAAAGATGATGCTCCTTAATAAGATCCGCCGCCTTCTCCGCCACAGCATAAACACTACTAACAATATTCCCACTAACATGATTCGGAAAAACACTCGCATCCACAACCCGAATATTGCTAGTCCCCTTAACCAACAATTTCGTGTCCACCGCATCACCCATCGCAACACTGCCACAAGGGTGATACTCGCTCATACAAATGTCTCGGACCGCAGCTTTCATTTGTTGCGTAGAAGTCATATCCGCGTCGGGGGGAGGGAAGAGACGCTTGGAGATTTTGTCGGAGAGGTGCTTGCTTTGCTCGACTTTTCCGAGCATTTGGAGGCCGGCGGCGAGCACGTCGACGTCGGCTTCGTGTTTGAGGAAAGCGGGGTCGACGGCGGGGTGGTCGTCGGGGTTGGAGGATTTGATGTGGACTGTGCCTCTGCTCAGTGGATATTGGAGACACATTGCTGCGCTGATGGCGTATGGATCGTTGATTGGGTCTGCGGGTGGTGGGAAGACGCCGGATTGGTCTTCGATCCCCTTTTCCATGCCGAAATGGGAGGGGACGAGGACGACTTGAAGATTGGCGGATTTGTCGTCTTTGAGGTGGGCGATTGTGCGTTCGTATTGCTTCTTTTGGTATGGAGTGAGGTTTGGAATATCGGCTTCGATACCGGCGATGCATTGGTCGAGCTCTTCTTTCGTGGCGAATTGCTTGTATGGGAAGAAGCCCTGCATGGTACAGATTGAGGTGAGAGGTCCTCCGCCAGTCTCTGCGAGGAGTTTCTGAGCTTGTTCCATCACGGCTGGGTTGTGGATGGCTTCGAGGGTCATGTTGCCGGGTTTCACCTCCCAGCAGCCTACAGTAAGGACGTGATCTTGGAAGTTCTCGCCAACTGCCTTGTTCTCGATCTTGGGCTCAATTCCAGCAGCTCGAATGATATCTGGGTTGCCAATCCCGGACAACTCCAGAATCTGTGGTGATTGAATGGCACCGCCAGCAACGATTACTTCTTTCTTGGCTGGGACGGTGTAGCTCTTGCCGCCGCTAGTGAAGGTGACACCGGTGGCCTTGTTGCCATCAAGCTCGATGCGAGAGACCATGGCCGAAGTAAGGACGTGTAGGTTGGGTCGATGTGCGTTTGCTTGGAAGTATCCTCGAGCTGCATAAGATCGGAGGCCCTTGTTTGGACCACTTCGGGCGACGAGTCCCAGAGTGTTGTAGAAGCCCTGAAAGAACAAAATTTAGCAGCTCACTTGCCACGCCGAGTTTATGTCCTTACAATGTGGTCGCCACTCCATGGATCATTTGGCTTCTTTGTCATTCCAGTAGCCTCGTCGCAGGCCTTGATAAAGTCGTCCTCAATCGGGAGTCTCCAGTCATTGAACGAAGTCCGAGCAGGTCCAGATGTGCCGTGATGTTCGCCAACAAAGGGCATAGTGGACCGATCAACGACACTTTCGGAGATGGGCTCAAGTGTCTGGTGCTTGCGCATGTACTTCATCATCTCCTCCGCATTCCACTTCTCATCATCCGCAATGATTGCCCAGTCATCGTAATCTTGAAGCGAGCCACGAACGTACATCATGTAATTGATAGCTGAAGATCCACCAAGAGCCTTTCCTCTCGGGATGTGATGTCTGCGGTTCTTGTTGGCAGTCTGATGAAACGGATCTCATCAGTCAGGTTTCCTCTCGCGGAAAACGCTGTCTCTCACCTGTGGCTCTGTCTTGAAGCCCCAATCGTAGTCTGGGTTGTTGAAAGTCTGCATGAACATCACGGGAGAGTCGACCAGCATGTCACCAAGCTTGCAGGTGCCAGCCTCGAGGACCTTCAAAACGAGTCAACGACGTTATCCATCGTCTCCAGCAAACACTGCAAATTCCACACTTACTCCGACGCTGACATCCTCATTCTCGGTCAATCGTGCTGCGACAACCAGACCTGCTGTACCACCACCGCAGATAACGAAGTCGTATTCCTGCTTGAGAAACTCTTCTGGAGAGGTATGCAGAGCTGGCATGTGGTTGCCATTGGTCTGGCCATTAACGCCGTTGGTCGCCATTTCAAGAGATGATCAGGTATCCTGAACGCAATGAAGCTCAGTGCAGGCAAAGGCTGGGCAGTTGATGGGTTGGCGGCACAGGCGCGAGCTTCTGGGACCTATATAGACACGCACCTCCCCTTCAGTAGTGCACTGCAGGGCTGAACCTTAGTTTGTACTAGAGATGCCATACTGCACCCCGCCACCCTTGGTAGCCCGTCCTTACACGCCTCGTAGTTCCGCTAAGACTAGGCGAATGGTCGGTTCGGGTCGAATTGAGCAAGCTCGTAGTGAGAGCTAACTAGCGATTGACCTGTTGTGTAACAGTTCACAGCAATAGCCCTTGAGAGGATAATGGTTCGCGGCAATCGCACTCTTGTCGTGGTATCCACTTCCTTTGCTCAGCTCTCATCAGTCAGCTTTTTCTCGTACGCACCCTTTCAAGTATCATTTCCTGGCACATCGCTCGGCGTTCCTCTCGTCCAGTATAGGTCAGCTGAATAGAATAGTACAATTGCCCCACGTCGCCGAAAGGTTATGATGTTCTAGTTGTAGATGGAGAAACCATGGCGCAGGTTCATGCAGCGGATCGTCTCCCGAGTTATGCGAGATACTGCGGGGTATGAAAAAAACTCGCTCCACTGTAGACCATGAGCGGAACAAAGGCGCGGTATCTGGAGATGACAGACGGGATACCTGCAGATCTTGGGCGGGAAGACGGGCTGCGTTCTGTGAATCGCGGTGTCCTTGTCGTCAGGCTTGCTGTGGTTCTTCAAAAGCGGGCGTACACGTCCCTTCCAGCAGGTAGTCTCTCACAATAGCACGACCGCATCATACTCCTAAAAAGCAGGTCAACAACGTAATATAAATAGGCGCCTCTTCGCGTGCTCTCTGGCTTCTAGCAATTGTTTCGAATTATTCTCAACTCTACTGGCAATGCCGAGGTCTGCCCTACTAGGTACAGATGCTGTTTCGCTTCGCTTTTATGCCTTCCGCGTATAACTTGCCCGGAACGCCACCTGAATAGCAGGATTTTGAAAATGTCGTAGATATCGTTGAACATGAGGTGAGCGTCCTCATCTATGATACAGTCGCAGTCTTGGTCTTCTTGGCCACTGGGACATCGGCTTGCTGATCAACCGTCTCATCGAGCGCCCGCTTCTCGGACTCCTTGTTAAGGTCGGCCTCGGCCTTGGCGAACTTCTTCTTCTCCTGCTCCGAGAGGTTGAGCAGTGGCTTCTCCTTGTCGGCGCTCAAGTTGGAGTGGAAGGTCCTGATGATGCTGTCTGCGTCGTCAATTGCAAGCGGTCTGACGTCTGCGAGAGCCTTGATCTTGAGCGTGACTTGCTTGATCTGCTCATCAGTCATTTCCAGGCTGAGCTGCTCAGCACGCGACTTGATGGCGTTCCAGCCAGTGAGACGGGATGCAAAGTGCACGTATCTGCTCATGCCGAAGTCTGCAGGGTTGATGATTTCGTAGGTGGATGGGTTGTTCAGGATGGCCTTGGCGTGAATACCGGCCTTGTGTGTGAAGGCGCAGAAGCCCGTGATTGGGTTGTTGAATGGCACGTTGATCTCAACTGCCTCTGCGACCAAGTCTTCAATCTCCTTGATCTTCTCCAGCCTATACTTGCTCTTGACGTAGTCGCGGTCTGCGACAATCATGCGGGCCATGAGGCCACCGAGCGGAGTAATCCCATTCCGCTCACCGATACCGATAACTGAGGTGTCGATGTGTGTTGCACCTGCCTCGAGCGCGCAGTATGCGTTTGCAATAGCACAGCCCGTGTCGTCGTGGAAGTGGGTCTCGATATCGCAGCTGACAACGCCACGGAGCGTTCGGATCAGGTCGTATACCTGTCGTGGAGTCGCGCAGCCAACGGTGTCCGCAATGCCGACTCTGTTTACGCCAACCTTGTCGACAGCGCTGTACAGAGTGAGGAGATCAACCAGATTACTTCGGAAAGAGTCTTCCGAGCTAAATCTGATTTCCTTGCCTTGCGACTTGACGTACTCAATCACTTCGATTGCGGTCTTCTTGATGTACTCCATGTCTTTGCCGTGACTGTGCTCCATGAGATGCTTGCTGGTACCAATGACCACGTCCACACCGTCTACGCCGGTTGCGACTGCAAGCTTGGCATCGCTCATGTTACACCTTACGTGTGTCAGAATCTTGGCCTTCAATCCGAGCTTGCAGATTGCTTCGCAGTCCAGCCTCGACTGCTCGCTTGCTGCGGGTGATGTGAGCTCGATGTAGTCCACGCCAAATTCATCAAGTGCCTTGGCGATCTTGATCTTGGTTTCGGTGTCGAAGAAGGCGTTGGCGAATTGTTCTCCCTCGCGCAGCGTTGACTCGATAATCTTGAAATTGGAGATGTTGCTCAGGAAATCAGGTACTGGCGCGTAGGGGTTTCTCGTTTGCGGTCGCGATGAGAAATTGCTGGGGAATCCGCTTGGGGAGGTCAGTCGCGGATCTAGGGCGGAGGAGCATCTTCGTCAAACATACACATATTCGCCGGAGCCATTGACTGAACTGCCGTTGGTGCCATTGGTGCCATTGGGGTGGCCGTTGGCCTCTGGTGTCGGACACATGTTGTGGTCTCGCTCAAAGGTCGATGGAAGGAGGAAGGTCCAGAGAATGCAATGTGTAGCAGCGAGCTGTTCTTATACCAGAGATGCTATGCTATGCGGGGACGTGAGGTGGTGAGTCAAATAAGTGAGGTGAAGAGTCAGAGAGAAAGAAAGAGCGCAAGTGAGCACAGATACGGTATGGGATGCTCGGCAAGTGCGAATGACATAAATTTTCGACAAAGGACTGGGTTTCTCCGCATGAAACTCCGCCAAGAAAAAGCATAAACTCTGCCTCACCGACCTCTCAGAACAAAGCCATTTCTGCAAGGGAGAAGATGTGCTGCAACCTGCAGCTCGAAGGTGCGCCGAGGCCGCTTCTGCATGTGCACGAAGCTGCATAGCGTCTCCTATACCGGCGGCACATTGAAAAGAACGCAACGTCAGCATTGACTCCAAGACTATGAATGCTGCTGGCCAACACCGCGCTGAAAGGCACAGCACAATTTGCAACTCCAACGGAATCAGTGCGACTACCACGGACACCAGCTTCACGTTGCAATATCCTGACTCGGCCAATCCAAAGCAGAGCTGCGTCTTCATGGCTTTCTGCGAATGCCCAAGTCTGCTTTGAACATCAACACAAGAATAGGGAATCAACACCTCACCCATCACCCATCAGACATCATCAAACCAGACCAGACCCCACCCTCGCATCTTCCCAAATCTGATCTCCTCCTTGGCACTCCACGTGTCTCTGAACGAGCATAGCCGGTTTGCAACTTTGCAGCCATGTGGGAGTAGAAAGTGAGGCTTCAAGGCTGAAGCGGACTACTGACAAATCGGGCCCTTGTCCCACAAGGTATGATGTGACCGCCGGTGCATCGAACTGTTGATCATGGCGTCTAGGAGGAGAACCTCGTGTTCATCGCGGTGTGGTGGTTGGGGTCCGTGTAGAGTATTGATTGTGTCATGCTATGTATGTTTAGCAGTGATATGTTTCGAGTCTTGGTATCACAGACATGCCACAGCATCCAAAGGGCTGTGAAACTTCTACTTGTGACCTGTCATCTGTCACTTGAACAATGCCATTGCAACAACTTTGTGTCTTCATGTGAGGCCGCGATTAACATCCTTGCTCCGTGGATCTGACATGATGTAGAACACACTTTCGCGATCGGTACGGTCAGAGGCTTCGCTCCTGCAACACCAGCATTTGACTGCAGGGATATGCCTGAGACATCTGACAACACATCCGTTAATGGCTGAGAACAACGACCGACGCTTCAGCTTGTGTAGCGCCAGCCGAGCCTTCACAAATGCAGCTTCGAGTGATATTATTGTACATTTGGAGCGGTGTGAACCGCTGTGCTGGGCCTCGAAGAGTCAGCTTGCACAGTACCCATAATGCATTATATTTGACTTTATCTACGTCAATCTGCACTTGTATATGCTTCATGCTGTTGTACTCTTGATGCCAAAACCTGCAGATGTCAAGATATGCAGTGCCGTAATAAAGTATGCAGTGCCACGACTCCCATGATGATACCTACTGTTTCGTGTCATGCTGTGGACTCTGAGCGCGAAGCCGCCGGTACGAAACTTCGGCCTCCCACCCAGTTCGGCCTCATGTTTGATCTTGCCTCAGCTGAACAAGAAAGTCAGAATATTGAGCAGGCATTTCACCAAGGAAATACGCACCTTGCAGTTTGGCCAGAATTGAGGATTCGGTTGGAACGAATACTGGAGACAGCCGGAACTAGCGGTGCCACCATGCTTGTTGTTCTCCCCGACCGTATCGCAGCTGTGCCATTAGCTTGTGATCATTGAAAAGAAGTCCCGTGAAGCAGACGTACCTGTCAACAGCTGCCATCATATTGACATAGCAGACGTCGAAATTCATTTCCACAGGCGGATCGCATGTGCCGATGGTGAAGATGTTCATTTTGATATGTCCCTCCTCCCAGACTTCATCGATGTAAGGCGTACGGTGAGGTTTATCACTTGGAGCGTAATACCTAGGTGACTTGGTGAGCTGTTTGGTCTCGGTCCTTTTCAGGTCGATGAGCGCACCAATCGCCAGTATTGTAAGTGGAGCTGTCCATGAAGATGTATCCGTTGAAGTGGTTACAGAACCAATTGAGCGCTCTCGCTGCCCATATACGAGAGATCCCGTAACACCACTTATCGTCCGTATAGCAGTGAATGGCCGCCTCATTGGGATTGTCGGAAGTGCTGTGGATATCGAGAAGGTCAAGATTGCTGAGTGTTACGTTGTCTGAGGCATATCCGACGGCATACGAAGAGGACTGAGAGACGGGTGTAGCGACAAGTAGCGAAGCAAGGCCGAGAAAAGCGATCATTTGGCTAAGATGCGCCATCATGAAGTTGGTGATTGCGAGAGCGAGTCGACTTGGTGGGATGGAAATGTGAGATCCTTATGGGCGGTGGCAAAGCGAATGGTTGCGCGAAAGATTTGAGATGCGTCGTGCATAGGGAAAGCAGGAAGGAGGGAGGGAGTTGTTGCTGTTGACAGGTGCGTAGTAGCTACTGCCTCGAAGCACGCACGCGCCTGCCATAGTAGAATATGCTTCAAGGCAAGTGCAGTGCAGAGAACTCTGCTATTCCAGTCTCGCTGAGCACCACATGCGCGCCAGCCTGTTTCGCGCCAGTGACCAAGCTATTCCAATGTCTCGGAGACACAGCTTTGCGTGATATCGACTCACGGCCTGTTTCACCTGTATTGCTGTGGATGACGGACTGCTCCCGGTTAGCTTGCCAGACTGCTGCAATTCTGCAGATTGATATGGCATAAGTTCAGCAACAGGAAGAGGTTGGAAAAGATGCTTGGCGAGAAGGATTCGGTATACTAGGAATTGGCCCTGTATACACCGTATAATATACCAGTATATACCCGGTGTATACAGGTAAGGGCCCGTGCGAATACCTTGATAACCTAGGAAGTCCGGCTGCTAAGCCTGTATCGACTCTCCGGCCGTAAAGGCTGTATACATGGTCATGATGGTATAATATACAATGTGTATACCATATACTGGATGGTGGGCTCCATCACTAGCTCCCAGACACGAGCCATCGTGAGCAATTCACTGCAGCCGGAAAGGGAACAGCTGCCTCTCCACTACATGCCCTGACCAAGAGTTCGCCGTCATCGATCCACTGACGAAGTTACACGACAACTGGCCGCAGGACGCAGGTAATGCTGGTCCAGGGCGACGCTGATGATATTTAGAATCCCTGGAAGACTGGAAGCGGGATACCTAGACCTGGAAAGGGGAGCATACGCCGACATCATGAGAGAACTGCCGGCGTACGTACATACGGGAAAGGATGTCAAAGGCGTGTGTCTCGAAAGCGCGAAGGTCCTCACATGTTTGACATGCAGCTCACCAATAATGCGGACGTCGAGCCGGGCACTCCATTATTGTTGCAAATTTACAAATCTCGATTGGCTCATCACACGCTACATACGCCTGACAGGCAATGTACTGTATCGTGCTTTCTTATTATTACAATGCTGCACGTTGAATCACGAGACCTGCAATGTCCTTCAGGGATTGTGCATAGAATAAGGGACACATTGGAAATCTAAATAAAAACCAAAATGACAGTTCGGGAGATACAGAGTTAGCAGGTACAGTCATGGACTTCCTTGGGAGGAAAGTGGATGCCCTACCTAATAAGTGATTCCATCTTCATTGAACCAATCTGGTGGATATTCCGGCAATTTGCATCCACATTCCTCATCTGTGAAGAAGCTCGTTGGCACGTCAGAGTTAAGGTTCAAAGGAAATGGACGTCGAAAATAGTGCTAGCGTCTAGGTAGCAATTTCTGTTCCGACTACACCCAATGCTCGCATTTGCCGTGCCGTACGAGTATTCATGTCCTGTCCCAGCTCGCTTCTCGCCTGGGATTTTGATGCGCTGTCTTTTTTCGAAAAAAAAAACATCTCACACGTTTTCCTACATTTCTTCTGCATGTCCTAATCCAACCTTAAAACTCTATGAAACATCCTGCAACATCCCGCTGTGCCGTTCTCTCTCAAAGAACTTGTCCGATCCTTACTGAACTCTCTTTCTCGCTGCCATCGTACATGCTCAGAGCCTAGGGGACTCTGATGATGGCGAATTTTTCGTCTGTCTTCCGTTTCTCCGAATAAGAGATTCCGTGCTTGCGCCGCCTCGGAAAACGCCTTGCCGATCGAATCTGTCGTCTCTTGCCGGCTAATATGTCCAGAAAGCCGACCAAAAGAGATACAGAATACAGCACTTCGAATACACATTAGAAGGAAATCTTGCTCTTATTCCTGTCAATAGCTGAGCTTAGCAATCGACCATGCCTCGTGCACCGTGCCGTAAAGCGTGACGTCGTGCTTGGAGCCCGGAGCAATATTAGAGGGTTGTCGCACCGAGGAATTGAATTGCTGTGGCTGGAGAATCGAAAGCCTATAGCCACGTCAAACCTCTGCATTGAAGCGAAGTCCGGGAATGCAGTGATCTAGTACCCTCACGTGCACGCTTACATGGACGTGTTGAATGGCGAGGGCGCTGGTGCTCTGCGGCTCTGAATCAACCGCTCCGTCTGGATGTACAGACTGTCGAGATATTGCATCGCCGGTGCATCCTTCAAAATTTTGGCGACCTGTAGTCCTGAGCTGATGAGCTGAAGAATGTTTCTGTCGTCCTTCAGCGGCCTAGACTGATGCTTGGCCGCATGTCTCATTTCCAAGCTGTTTTCGAGGATCGTGATTAGTTGTTTGATTTGACCGTTGTACAGCACCCGTGCTGGGATGCGTCTCTTCGTTGCGAGTCGCTTCAGAAGGTAAACCCACTCCGACCACTCTCGGTCGCCGGGTACTCGTACTGGTCGCTTGTCGGGTTCGATGGGGATGGGAAACTGGTATTTGGCGACGAAGTCGAACGCACATTGTGACAATCTGTCGTTTACTTTGGATAGAATCTCGTCCTGTTCCTGGGCGTATAAAGTGATGGGTAGTTGGGGTAAATCTTCTTCTTTCGGTTCGATACCGTTATCGTCTGGTTTGTCGAGGAGCTGGGATGGTCCGTCGAATTCGTCTCTGTTAGATGGTCGTCTCTGGGGGAAAGCCTTGTTCTGTAGACTGGCGGCACTGGAGCCTGCATCTCCACCGTAGTATGCACCCACCAACGGGCTCATTCGCGCCTCTTCGGAAGAGCTACGGCGTAGAGGCGGTCCGGGCCAAGCGCTTCCATACGCTGAGTAGCCTGAGCGAGGACTCCGATCACTTCCGGGAGGCATCGGTGTCTGCGAGGTAGGAAATTGAGCAGACAGTGGTGATGCCGCCCAGCCCGAGAGCAATGGGATCTCTTGATATGGCGCTGCTGGTCGGCTGGACCATTCCTCTCTGGCCCAGCGCTGTGCTTGTGTTGTAGAAAAAGGCGGGTATCCCGCCGTGGTGCGGTTGGCAGATGGCAACCCCGGTGGAGCTGGAAAGCTTTTCACAGACTGATGAGTGTGTGATGGAGCAGAACCAGTATAGGTATGAGCATACCTGAGCGCTGGCGGCGGGCGCGAAGCAGCCCACGGATCTCTATCTTGCAGTCGTTGCCTGTTCTCGATCAGTCGAAGATCCTTCGTGCAGGTCACCGTCGCCATCGATGCGGCTTGAGGGTCGCACGTACTGTCTTGCGAATGGCTCCTCGATACGAGTTGGCAGTGCCGCAGCTCTCCTGGACTCGTTAGGAGCGTAACCTGTTGTCGTAGGTTCCGCTGGTGCGCCGGAGGTCATTATGTGCAATCGGCAGACTTGGCCTGCAGCTGCAACAACGCAAATGCTGTGGGAAGACTAGTGTTCGCAGATCACTGTGGTACAGAGATTATTGTGGACGAGTGACGGCAAGGCTCTTTCTTACGTGAGGCGCAACCAGATGCACCAACCAGCGAATTGGCATTGCGGCCTGGGTCGTGCTGCAGTCGAACCATCAACCTTGAGGACACACAAGGCTTTCCACCATCCACCAGGATCTTCGCTGTGCAGGCTGTGACGCGGTCTGCTCAGTCCCTGCCCAAGCCGACCCTTCAGTGCGAGGAGTCTTCCAGGGTGCCCCGGCATGGCATGGCCGTGCTGTTGGCACCAGGCAGACACGCTTGCCCGAGGACGTGCAAGACTGCTCGATAGCCCAGGTCGCAGGACCAGGCTAGCAGAGTTGGCGGCCGTGCCCAGCAAGGGTAATGAGCGAGCCAGCCAGCTCTGCTTGCCGTCTCCATTTCGTGGGCATTGCCAAACCGGGGGAGAAACCTTCTATTGACAGGCATAGGTCGCCGAACTGACATCACTTGACATCCAACGGTGGTGTGAAGTGCCGAAAGGCAAAGGCTCCGGCGCGCCTCGCAAATGGGTGGAAGCAGGGCGAAACATAGTGCGTGCCGCCGGCGACTCCCATACCTATCTCATTCTCGTCGTGCCTGCAGGGATGTGAAGATCGTTTCTCGGTCGTCACAAAAGCGCCCATTGCGCACTGCAACGCGGGCGGGTGGGTGAATAATAATCACAATGCAGATGCCGCGGAAACGAGGTCGGCGACAGACTTCTGACTGGGCATTGACGAGGAAGATAATTCGAGAAATTTTTCTTTTCTTGGAGCGCTCGATGGTCTGGCAAGGATGTAGGGAGGTGTCTGCCGCCCGGGCAATGCACGTGCGGTAATGATCTGCGACTTTTTGGGCAGCGCTATTCATAATTCGGGGGCATTTCATAATTCATATTCTAGCATTCGGTGTCTGCCGGAAGCACGAGTAATGCTGCCCAAGGCGCCGATGACATGCTCGATCTCGAACCTCGACGGCGATGTGTGACTGTGAGACGCGCGCGATACATGAGCAAAGCAAAAATGGAAGCGAGCCGAGAGCAAAAGCGGTCTGCCACGTGAGAAGACGCTGGTCCTCGTCAGGCGTCGATGGAATTGCATCGCCAGTGGCACTGTGGCACTGACTCGCCGTTCACTACTCCCGGAGCACGTGAGGACATGGCAGACTGCTTGGAATAGACATCATTGACCGTCGAAAGCCTATGGTGGTGAACGTGTTTCAAGTGCCAGGCCGACGCCAGCTGCAGATCGCCTGTGAAACACACCAGCATACCATACATAAAGCGTCTGGTTCGGATGGTCAAAGATAGCACTCTGGCCTTTTGGCACCGCTGGCCGCCAGGGTGGAGGAGCAAGCTTCTTGGGAAATACCAAAGAAGGACGTTGAGAATTGCAAATGCTGGCGAGCCGGCAACAGCCGTCGAACAAAAGCTGCTGATGAACAGGGCCGCCGGACCGGGCATCATGCATTGTTACTTCTGGTGACATGTTGGTACAAGACGAGACAGGCACACGATCGTGCCACCTGGTATCGTCCTGCATTCTGCTGCATCTCACACGAACCGTTCGGCGCGCTGTCATCACACATACATAGTATCCAGCTGCGTCGCCTGTTGGTCTTTGTTGGTGAGTTGTTGGGTTGGGAGAAGCGTCGCGGGAAGGTCACCACACCGACAAGATCAGTTTCAGAACACAATAATTCAACTCTCGCTGAATAGTTCTATCTACCGGAACGGATTCGCCGGAGCTCCAGCGCTGGGGTTATATGTATGCAGTGCAAGGCTTGCAGCCCTGTCTCCGCGTTGCCCGGAGCGCTATAGGTCCCACGGGCAGCACTGCGATTCTTGCGATAGCGATGCCGGATGACGGAGCTGTATGTGAGCTTTCCCAGGCTGGTCGCGCTACGAAAAAGTTTAGCACAAAGCTCACATGGCCGACGAGGAGCCGCGAAGAAGACTCAACTCACAAGACAATGATTATGAAAATGAAAGCAAGAGCACTGTTACTACCACCTCCCTCTGCGCAACGCCCACGATGACCAGAATAAAGATGATGAACCAGATCAGGGTCGGAATGCTTTCGGGCGACACTGCGACCACAGGACTGATGAGTCGCTTGCGTGCGAGTAAGATTATTATTTCGGCGAGAGTGAACAGTATGGTCAATCCGCAAATGGCAATGTAAACAGCGGCCACGGCACTAAACAGGGTACTAACTCAAGCGCAGTGTAGACATTGTCGTATGTGTCTGATTCGTCCTCCCTATCAATGTAGGCCAGCCCATACAGGGCAAAGCTGGAAGCCACCAATAATATGAGGACAAAAATGAGTTGAAGCACCCAGAGAGGGAATCCATACTCGTTTGAGCCATAAGCTGTTGGACATCTCCGCGGTATGGGTACCTGGTCCTGGTCCTGGTCCTTGTCCTTGAGTCTGGCGGGGAGCTGTGATCGTGTGCTCTTTTTGCGTTATTAGAGTTGACAGTGACAGGCGGACTCTGTTTGTAATGCGATCAGGCTTAACAATATATAGCCGGAGTCATGTGGGAGTCGGAAAACTGATCATCATGAAATGCGCCACACCCGACCAAGACCGTCAATATATATTTATACAAGCGCTTCGTCCACTTAGCTGCGGTTCAGTTGCAAAAGATTCCTGCAGGTGGAAGTGCGAATATGATTGAACAAAGGCGGCTGTTGACAGATTTGGGTTAACGTTTCGCCAAGGCAGCTAAAATTGGCATCGAAATAGGAGATGAACCACTCAGATGATTCATTTTGAGAAGACAAGGTTCGCTTGAACCGCGTCGGCGACATCTGGCGGAGCATTTTCGACGCCACTGGCCGGAGGCTGAGACTCACGCTGGCGGCCTTATGCGCGATGGTGACACCGTCATCTGGAGTTCTTTACACTGCCAGGGCTTGGAATGACTTATTATACGGCGCCTTCCACAAGAACAGCAACTTCCTCTCCGGAAGTCTGAGACCACGCGCGACAGCGTCCGTAGAGGAAATCAGAGCTGTAATAGCGCCCTCCGACGTGCACTCGCGAATCAAAAATCCAACCTCGAAAGTCGCCACAAGCCCGCGTGAACGTGGGCAGAATTGCAAGAGCTTGGAAGGCAGGAATGGTTGAACAATGGGTAAAGATGCTCGTAGGAGAGCTGCTTTCGTGCTGTTCTGCGATATAGTGAAGATGGCAAGTAGGATCATAGTCGGTCCTCCTTCGCTTGAAGCTCTTCAGCCTTCCTCAGCGCAAATTGTCGTCTCTCATCACGCAAGCTAGTGAAGATCTGCCGAGTACATCAGCGTCTGTGGATGCAGATGAGAAAGGTTCGCAAAAGCATACCCAAAACCACATGGCAATCTCAAGGAAGGCAAAGGTAAACACCAAACTGTTTTGCAACGGCTCGCCTATGCCTGCGCTCGCAGTGGAACCCGAGCCGAAAGCGCCGTCCTCTCTGAAGAGATACACATAGCCAGACAGACCGAATAAAAACGCCAGTCGGACAGGCACATTGGACGTCCAATAGTGCAGTGCTGCTTCTTCGTGCATAGATGCTGCGGTCAGATCGGCCAGTCCAATGAAAGCCAGAAGAATCGCGATGAAGGCTGAAGCTTCGCTTGGTTTGTCAAGCGACGTCGCGTGATTCTGCGGCCGTGTATCAGCAACAGAAAGATTGCAGTCGCTTAGAGCTCGCTCACCATGCGCATGGACTCGCCCAGGATAAAGACGACATTTTGGTCAGCAAGAACTCTCGGGGCGGTGAGAAAGAAGTAGGCAGCGGTGAGGTGGAAGAGCGAGATGGTCCGGATGAGCGTGAATGCCGATATCAGGCCCATCTTGTATGTATGTCACTCACTGATCAGATGAGTTCGATGGAGTCGCACGCTCAATGCAGGTACGAATCTTATGCCAAGGCCAAGACCTTCTGCCTGTGCTTTCAGGCACGCCTGCAGATGTCGCGTGGTGGTGGTGCTGCCCACAGACATGGAGTTTCAAGTTCCGCCAGGTTCCGCATGCTTAACCTCACTCCCCTCCCTGCCTACCATTCACCAAGGGAACTGCCGAGTGGCCGGCCAGCATTGGTATGATAGCTCAATATGTTCTGGCGCGAGAACAGCATCAGAATAGATCGTGGTTCAGAAGCACACGACCAGGCCGCCATGGCAGAAGCTTTTCCCGACGAGAAGAAGAAAGATCAATCTGACAACAAAGCATCACCGATATTGGAACGGGCAATTGCGGACTCCAAGAGTAATACCTGGACCCTTTTCCAGCTGTTGTTCATTCTCACTTGTGTAATCTTTGGCTATACCGTCTTCGACCCACACAAGTTGGCCGAATTCTTCTCGACCAAGGCCGCTCGTGGAACGACGTCTGCTTCATCAGCGGAGCTAGCTACGGCACACAAGATACTACGAGAGAACCCGCTGATCGACGGTCACAATGATCTACTAATCCTGATTCGAGCGTTGTACAACGACCACATATACCAATCCAATTTCACGGCACCGTTTGAGGAAGGCGATTTTACTGGTCACTTCGACCTCCCACGAGCAGATGCAGGTCAACTCGGTGGCTCATTCTGGAGTGCCTGGATTCCATGTCCATCAGATGGACTCGACTTCTCCGACTCGAACTACGCACCCTACGTGAGGGCCACATTGGACCAAATCGACCTCTTCAAACGTCTCGGCGCCAAGTATCCCAAATACTTCACGCTGTCGACAAGTGCAGCAGAAGCAGAAGCCAACTTTGAAGCCGGCAAACTAATTAGCCCTCTCGCCATCGAAGGCCTTCACCAAATCGGCAACTCAGTCGCCACCCTTCGTCTTTACCACGAACTCGGTGTTCGCTACGCCACTCTCAACTGGAATTGCCACAACCTCTACAGCGACGCCGCAGTCGTCATCATAGATGGAGTCTCCCAAAGATCAAAGCCCTACTGGCACGGCGTATCAGATCTCGGCCGAAAACTCATCCTCGAAATGAACCGTCTCGGCATGCTCGTTGACCTCTCCCACGTCTCACCCGACACCATGCGCGACGTGTTAGGCGGCAACAAGACATCAAACGAAGAAAAATACAAATGGGAAGGCAGCCTCGCCCCACCAATCTTCAGCCACTCCTCCGTCTACAGCATCTGTCCGCACCCCCGCAACGTCCCCGACGAAATCCTCCACCTCGTCAAACAACGCAACTCGCTCGTAATGATCAACTTCGCCCCAGAATTCATCTCCTGCACAGAAGACCCTGCCTCCAAAACCGGTCTCCCAGCCTACGTCGACGCCACGAACACCATCGAACACGTCGTCTCCCACATCACGTACATCGGGAACCTGATCGGATACGACCACGTCGGCTTAGGTTCGGATTTCGATGGGATTCAGAGCACGCCGCGAGGCTTGGAGAGTGTGGCAGATTTCCCGAAATTGATTGAGTTGCTGTTGAAGGAAGGGGTGAGTGAGGAAGATTGTGCGAAGATCGCGGGGAGGAATTTATTGAGGGTTTGGCATGAGGTTGATGAGGTGAAGGAGAGGTTGGAAAGGGAAGGGTTGGAGGCTTTGGAGGATGGGATTGGGGGGAGGATTGGGGGTACGAGTGTGAGGGGTGAGAAGGGTGGGGTGGAATTGGATTATTATTGATTTTTTTTTGTTTTCTCTTGATTTGATCATGTTTAGCTAGCTCGCTAGTCGTGATGTGATGAGATCGTGATGATGATGATGATGGGGTGGACATAGATGATTAGGAAATCGTAAGGGACCAAGGTTTTCAGAAGTCGTTTGGATCGTGGAAGATTTTTCGAAAGATCATGCAATTTGGCCGTGTAAGCTCAAATTCCGGTCGGAAAAGCCCAGGCGGCATTGGACTTTGAAGCAGAACTGCCGTCTTGTGCTGCTTCAACAAACTCCTCCGCGGGACGAGTGTCGTCCAGTGTCGTTGGAGTTCTGAGACCAGCGTTGTGGTCCTTGGATGGACTGGCGGGAACCGAGTTGGGAGGATTCGAAGTGAGGACAGCAGCAGGAGGCGAGATTTGGGCTCGAGCGAAGACCTTGCGCAGGCTCTTGTTCTCGTCTGTAAGCTTCTGCAGCTCTACCTTCAGGGTTTCCTCCGATGCCTGGGCTCTGTCCTTCTCGATGACAGCGAGTTGCAACTGGTTTTGGGTGTCTGCGAGTTTCTGGGCATTGCTGATGCGCAGTTCGAGTTTCTGGGCATTGCTGATGCGCAGTTCGTTGTTGCGCTCGTTTTGGCGATTGAGGTCCCTGTTAGCCTGCTGAAAAGTGTCACAAGCCTTAGCTCTCTGCTGGAGAGAGTCGACTTCCCGGCGATAGTTTTCCTCGGTCTGCTTGAACTTGGCCGTCAATTGCTTCTCGCGGATTTCGCCGTTGTTGTTGGCGTGCATGGCATTTGCTTTCCAGCTCGCAAGGTCTCTCTTGGACTTGGCGAGGGTTTGCTGAAGGGTCTGATTCTCACGGAATGTGTTGTCGAGTGCCTCCTGAGACTGCCGCTCTCCGGTCTTGGCCGCATTGACCTCAGAGTTCAGACGAGTGATGGAGTTGTTCAATTCCATCCCGCGACGCTTCCACTCTTCAACCTCCTTGTCTTTCTCCTTCAATTCTACGTCTTTCTGCCTCACCTTCTCCATGGCTTTCGGTCCTCCTTCCTTTTGAGCTTCTTTGAGCTTGTCTTTGAGAATGCGGATCTCGTCTCTGTGATCTGCCTTCAGCTCCCGAAGCTCATTCGCGAGAGATTCGATCTTCTCCCGCTTGCGTTCGATATCGTCGCCTAAATTCTTGGCCTTGGTGTTCAGCTGCCCTTTGAGTTTCTTTTCAGCCTTCTCGAACCTTTCCCCCACGTCTCTCTCAACATCTGCCCTGATAGCTTTCTTGTCCTCGATTCGTACAGCTTTTCTGTGGGCTTCTTCATTTTTTCCCTTTTCCTTCTTGTTGGCAATGCGGGTTTCTTCTTTCTTCCTCATGTCGAGGCAATCACTACGCCACTGGTCACGATCCTCTTCAACTTCCTCCAACTTGTTCCTCGCCCCATGGAGTTCCTCCTCCAGCTCATTGATCTTGTCCTTGTGCCTCCGGAGCTTAGAGTTGAATCTAGCTCTGAGATCTTCGAAAGTCTCCTCTTTCTTTGTCTCTCCAGCTTTCTCACCGCCCGGAGCAGACCCATTCTCCTCGCCAGTCTTCGCCCTCTTGGACTGCTTCTCCTCGTCATGCTCCTCCCCAGCTCTCTTCTTCCCATTCTTCTCAGCCAATCCGACAACAGATGCAGTTTGCGGACCGTCTCCAGAACAGGTTTCGTCAGACGTGTCTTGAGGTGCGTCAATCGCGACTGGCTTCTTTGAAGATCCGGCTGCGATCTCTTTGGATTCGCTACCAAGCTGGCACTCTGAAGTCACCTCACGCTGTTGCGCAGCTGCGGGCTCGGAAGCGGCACCGTCGTCACTCGAGATCATAGTCACTGAAGCTGCGCACTCGGTCGCGTTGTTGGCCATGCGCAATGGAGTGTCTGACGAGTTGTGAGTGTGTTGGACTGTGTTATGTGAGTTGAAGTCAGAAGCGCCTGGTGTTTGTCGATGGATATTGTGTCGAGGAAGGGTGTTGACGTTTGATGTCGAGAAGAAGAGATTGCAGAGCTTGGCGTTGAAGAGTGAGTTTTGGCAATTGGCTGATGTTGAAGTGAATGCTTCTACGGCAAGCTCTTGCCACATTTGCAAGCTCAGCTTGCATGTGATGTGGCATCTTCAGTTTCCGTCCTCAGCTTGTTGTTCCGCTCTTGAGAGATTTCCATACCTCTGATATAGCTCTTCGGCACACGCGAATTGTTGCTGAGCTTGTGTCATTCATGGTCATGATACAAGCTCTATGATACCCGTGCATGAGAATGATCATCATCATGAACAACCATGATGGCCAATCTCTTCCGATCGTTTATGACCAGGACTGTGCTGCTCACAACACATCATAGTACACATATCGATCGATATCAACGTGATCTGCTCGCATTGAGGATAGCTGTGGAATTTGGGTTAAAGTCGTTGGTAAAGGGTACTCTCTTCGACTCCTAGGTCGCGGTTCAAGGTTGCAGATACTATATCTGCCGCTCCGAAAGCGACTTCGACCTTCCTTGCGTGATCTCGCCATTGATATGGATTCGTGATCTATCGAGCTGGGAAGATACCTGCATCTCCCGAAAGCTCGAGACTTGTTCTGGGTACCTCGATCCAGTTCAGGTCTCGCAACTATGCAAGTTTTTGTCTTGTTCCCAGGTCCTGTGCGCCTTTCGATGTCATGCGATCGGCTATAAATCCAACTCAACTCATGCTGTAATCATGCACACGAGCACTCCCTTCCACCGCCCCCTACTTCAGCTCCAACAACCTCTTAATCAACCGTCCCTCTTCCTCAGCAATATTCTCAGCTTCCTTAGCCTTCAGCCTTGCAGCCTCAACCTCCTCCCTCAACTCCTCAATAAGCTTAGCCTGCTCCTGCTTCTTCTGTTCCGCCTCCGTGACTTTCCTTCGCTCCTCAAGAATCTGCTGTTCATACCTGACAATCTCCTCCACTCGCCTGGCCTCCCTCGCATCCTTCTCCTCAACCTCCCTCTGAAGCCCCTTCACCATCCCCAACGTCCTCATCGCCTGAGCCTCAAGCGCAAGCCCCACAAGTTCCTCACCTTCCGCCTCACCCATCTGACCAACAAGATCCTGAAAGTGACCGTTTTCCGTCTCAAGTTCCTCCACCCTACCCTTCAACCCCTCATTCTCCTCCTCCAACCTCCCAACCTTCATCCTCTGATCCCTCAACGCACTCGTCCCAATTTCAATCAACTGATTCTGAGTCTCAATAAACTCCTCCAAATCCTTCTTCTCCGCCCTCAACTTGCCAGACTCCCCATTACGTTCCTGTAATTTTCGCATCACTTTCTCCTTCCCCTCGATCTCAGTTTTCAAATCATGAATCTGATTGCAACGTTTTCCGATTTCGATGCCTCGAGCCGCGGACTTGGAGGCTTCTTTCGCGTTGCTGGCCGCATCTCTCGCGTGTTTAGCCGCCTCATCCTTCAACTCGATCCAGCGAGATTCGAGTCGCTCAAAGATGGAGTTTGGGATGCGGTGACCATAGACGATGCGGCGGAGTTCGGCATCGCCTGGGATTGCGCGCGCCATCTTGTTAGGTATGGGTGTAGGGCTTGCAGAGCGTTGGCGTTTGCGCGTGTCAATGAGATCTCGACGCCGATATGGAAGTTCTTGTTGACCAGCCATGTCGCCCCCAGCTCCAAGGAACGTGCCCTGGAAGCGGATATTTGGTTTTAAGGCGAAAATTGTGGCAGGTCGAGTTGGGTCGAGAAGTCTCTGGAGTCGGCGTTGATGGTGAAGCAAGCAGAGTTGTTCCCATTCAAAGAGAATCTTTTCAATGAGTGAGTGACGAAGTTGCAAACGACGTTTCCAGAGTGGGTCCGAGCAGCCAGGCTAGCCGCATGACGCTAAGCAAGATCGGCGGAGAACTGCATGTGAACTTCCGAAAATGCAACACGTCCACAATCCAGGAATGAGGGAGGTGTCCTTCTTTGCAAACTAATGTATTAACACAGTATCTAGCATGCCACGGTCGATCCACCCTAACAATGCTGCTTTTAACAATAGTAGAAGCATACGTCCTGTCCTCGTATGTCAAGATCCCTTTTCCGACAAAGCACATTACGCCACCGACTCTAGCCTGATGCGTAGCAGGGCAGGTGCGTTATCCAAAAGATCCCCTCCCCTTTTGTATCCATCGCAATGCTTTCACTTATACACAATGAAGTAGGTCAAATTAGTATGTAGGTTCACGAAAAGCCGCGTTCGGCTATCCAGTCTCGAAAGATGTGACATGCTCAGGACCAGTGTCCTTTTCTCGGTCGCTGCGATGAGATATGCTTCGTAAAACGCTCTGTGCGGAGGACAATCGTGACTCCGCTCGGCGTGGTGTGTCAGGCTCCTAGTCCAGATTCGTGTATATTTCGCTCAATGCGGGCTCGTTTGTAGAGTGACTCGCAGACTTTTCCTTCTTGAAGCCCCACTTGGACTTCTTCTTTTGTTCGCGAGATTTCTTCATAGCTGCCCACCCATCGTCGTCATCATCGTCCGTCGGTCGCGCAGCTACTTTTGGTGCGCCTTTCGGCTTGTCCACAATGCGGATGGTCTGCTTAGGAGTCTGCACCTCCTTGGCATTGAATGGGGTTCCCGGCAAGTTTGGCGAGGTCTGTTGCTTCTGGAAGGCCTGAAGTGTGAGGTTCGAAGTCATGCTCTGCGTTCTTGATCCCCCTCCAGTTTGTGCGACAGGGCGATAGCGTGACGGCTGGCCGATATTGCTTCTTTCGCTGGGCGCTATCGACGGAGCGTACCCATTCGCGGGAGCGCCGCCTGGAAGGTTCAACCCTTGGACGGATGGCGCATAGCCATTTAATAATGGCATGGCACTGTTCGGCCTGGGACCACTGGGGTTGGCTGCACTTCCCCAGCCAGAGGGCGGGCTCATCATCGTCATGGAACGACCTTGGTTGGCCAAGCTGGCAGGTGGGCCAATTTGATTCGAAGCGTGACTGGCCATCGACATTCGACGGTTCTGTTGGTTGAAGTTAACGCCGAGGTAGTCTCCGGTCTGTTGCTGCTGTTGAGGTGTCTGTACCTGTGGCGACGGTGATCCAGGCTGACCCATTTGCATCTGCTGCATGGTGAGCATGTTCTGCATCATCTGCATCTGCATCTGCATGAGTTGCTGCATTTGCTGCGAACCAGGATCTTGCTGCTGCGGCATTTGCATTGGCATCATTCCCGGTATGCCCATCTGTGGCATTAGAGGCATTGGAGGCATTGGAGGGTAGCCGCTGGGATTGTGAACAGATGATGGCGGAAGATTACCCATCGACATGGTGCGGGGCATCGGTGGCATGTTCATGTTGGATGGCAGCGGCATGTTCTGTCCCATCAAAACGGCAGGGTTGGGGCTGCCTCTGCGTGCGGCTCTCGCTCGCTCCTCTCCAGCGATGACACCCACAAGACCACCAGGGTGACCCATTGGAGCCGGTTGCGGCATCGACGGTGGCATCTGCTGCTGCATCGGGTGCAGTGGTGCTGATGGAGGCACTCCGACAACAGAAGCGCCCGAGCCATTCATGGCTAGAGACTCTCGTGTGCTTGCGTTCACGAGGCCAGCACCGAAGTATGGATCGGCGGGGAGACGGCGGGCGAAAGGTGGCAGATTACCTTGCCCAGCGCCTCCGCCAACCACTGTCGATCCAGAAGCAGATGTTCTTCGCTGGTGCGCAAGATCATTCTCGCCCTGTTGAGTTGGCGGCCTGCTGCTGCTCGGGAAGCCATGTGCTTGGAGGATACCAAGCGGGACATCGTCATCCTCGTCCTCGTCCTCCCTACCGCGTTGGGTGGCCTCAGGTGGAGCGCCGCCGATGCCGCCAAAGTGTAGGCCGATGCCACCACCATTGACAGATGCTGAGCTCGATCTTTGATCCAGCCCAGGTCGCACAGTCGAAGCTGTTGACGACGGCAAGTCAGTCGGTCCTCCACCCGTCACTTTCTTCATCTGCTGACGATACACCGACATGTTGGCTTCCTGCTTCTGTCTTTGTGATGCCATCTTTCTTGCACGCTCAATCTCATCATCGTCATCATACTCATCGCCAGAATGTTCCTCCTCTTCGCTTTGCTCCGCACTGCTCTCATTTTGCCTCTGCAGTGCGTTGAACTGTGCTTTCGTCATCTTCTTGATAGTACCGCTTTCGGTTCGCTGATGGCCAGCGCCTGGCCCGATGGCCCGAGACGCTGGCGCACTGGGGGATGAATCGAACATCGAGTGCTCGCTAGAAACGTTGAGTTTCCTAGCGGCTCGTGGTGTAGTAGTGTTAGACTCAAGAAGAGCAGAGTCTCCGGCGGAGCTAGGTGAAATAGCACCACCGCGAGAAGGTCCGGCTAGTGATTGCTTGCCCGTACTCGAGGCAGAGAGTTTGTTCGAGGAGGTTGACAATTGTGGGCTAGGCCCATCTCTCAACTCAACCTTTCTCACCCAACGATCTTCATCCTCGACGTGTGCTTGTCGGTTTGGATATGCACGCTCTTTCTCCTTGGGCTTGCCAATCATTAAGCCTGAGAGGCTTTCTTGTGAATCGTGTTCGGGGCCAGGAGAAGTGTAGCGTTCAGGAACGCGCGAGTAACCAGACTTGGAACTGCCAAGGAAAGCTTGGGTAATTCCATTTCTAACGGTTCCGCTCGGACCGCCGTCCGGAAGCGCAGGAGAACTGAGAGCTGGACTGTGGAGGAGACCATCGTTGGAGCTCTCATCGTCACAAGAATAGGGTGAGTTGCTGTTCTTGCGCGAAATGTTTTGAGGATTCGGTGATGGGGTGAGGGCATTCCGGGAATGTGTCCTTGGCGGATACATGGGTTCGGATTCCTAGTCGCTGATCAGCACTCATCAGTTCTCCGCTGCATCCACCGTCATGCTTACCGTTCTGTGGAAGGTGTTTATTGGTGACGGTTCCCACGCTGGCTCCTTCTTGAGACTTTCAAACATGCTGCCGAAGTCGTCGTTGCCGAAGTCCGGATCGTCCAATCTAAGCTCGGTTCTCGGTGGCACGGCGGTGCTGGCGTAGCTGCTGTTCGTCATCGCTCGCTCTCTGAAGGGGCTGTGAGAGCGCGTTGGCTGCATGGGTAGAGGTGGAAGGGAGGGAGCGGAGTCAATGTGTAGTGGAGGAAGCGGAGGCACATCGTTATCCCTGGATGCTCCTCGATTGTGCTTGTTTCCGAAGGAGAAGGTCCTCAATGCTCTGGAAGTGAACTTTGGCGGGGGTGGAGGCTCGTCTGCATTGGGAGGCACTGTCCGATACATGCCCGTGGTGGTGTGGGTTTTGCGCACGGGGTACAGGTCGTCGTCCTCAGGAGTCTTGTCCTGGTCCAGGCTGCTGGGCAGGGTGGAAGTCGAACTGTGTCTTGCCGAGGCGCCGGAGCTCTCGTAGAAGCCACTTGAGCCTGAGTTGGTGGTGCCGCCGCTGCCTCTAGCGGCGTTGAGCGGCCAGGCGGAATGGTTCCTTGTCGATGTGCCCGCAGACGCTTTCGGCGCGCGTCCCAGATCGTCGACCGACTTTCCTCGCAGCGTGTTCAGCGGCGAAGCGAAGGGGCGATGCGGCTTCTCATTGTTGTATGAAACGGATTTCTTGTCTTGCCTCTCGAGCACGCGAAAGCTGGACTGTTCTGACGGGGCAGTTCCACCCGCGTCGGCCGGGAGCCCAAGGTCCAAGGCGTTGCCTGAGGACTTGCGCCGTCCAAATGCCTTCAGGTTCAGTCCCTTCGGCATAGAGGTGGTGTGGTGCGTGCTGTGTGCTATATGCTCAGCTGGGGCAGTGTGTTTTGTGCTGTATGGCGCGGCAATGCGATGGTCGCGACCACTGCTCCTGGCCCACGTCTATGGTCGCATGAAGGTCACAGATGGCAGAAAGCGTGGCGTGGCGTGGCGTGGCGTGATATCTACAGGTCGATCGGGTCGCGTTCCACAAAAGACGTCGTTGGTACAGCGTGTGGTGGTCGGGGGTGAAAGCGAATGGTGAGTCTGAGAGCGGGCTACGGGGGCCCCAAGCAGGCGCTCACGGGTCGTGTACAGTGCGTGTTTCGGGTGGCGGCAGGGCAGGGCAGGGCAGCACAATGCTCATGAGCGCTGCTGCAATAGTAATGCTACAGTAGTCAGTGATGGATAAAGCGAGCGTGGATGGAGGGTAGTCGGGCAGCGGTAGCGGTAGCGGTAGTGGTAGCGGCGGCGGCAGTGAGCGTGTGAAGAAGATTGCGTAGTCAATGGCTGCAACTCAGCTCAGAATAGGCTCTGGCTCTGTCCACGTTGGGGAAGCAAGCTGCACCAACCCAAAACGAAGCCCTTACAGCGCGGGTCGGCACGCAATCTTCGCTCCTCGAATTCCACACGTCTGGTCGGTAGCGCTGGACAACGACGCAAGAATATTTTGAGGATGAAGAATGCCTCCTCCATGCACACTGCACTGCACTGTGCTGCCTGCCGATCTTCTCAGTGTCCGGCCTCAATGCTGTATGTACAGTGCCTGAGGCTCAGGCTAGTCGACTCGGGTCAAGCGCAGTCTATTTTCAAAGGGGACACTCCTCCTTGATTCGTCCATTGCATCGCCCGCCGCCGCCGCCGCCGCCGCTGCATATTCTATTGGCTGCAATCAACAGTGATTCAGCCTCTGCGACCATATATTCCGGCCGTCCTTCCCCCATACCGCCACCTCATTGTCGATGCCATGTGGGACTGGTGTCCGCATTATCATTGTCACCCTTCTATTATTGCAAGACCCGATGCTGAGTGCTGGCACGCCTTGCCTTCGATTTGTCTTTGACGCCTTCGGAGACACCCATCATCTTCCTCCCATTCTCTCACACCGACATTGATGAGCGTCCAAAAATCACCATCACCATCACAGCCCCAGTCATGCATCATGCAAGCCGCCTTCCTCCGCCGCTCAGCAGCATGAAAAAGGCGAATTCAACCTGAAACTTCCTGTGAACCATTCGTTTGCTCGCAAGCACGGACAATCCTGCCAGCCGCACCCCAGACCTGCTTTGGCTGCAGAGAGAGAACTGCTCGCCTCAACCACATCTGGACTGGACTTTCGACCTCGCTCGCCTCGCCACGTCTGCACCACCTGCGGTAGAGAGTCCACTTTCGTGATGCTGACACCTGCCACTTCGGACTTTTGCTGCTAGCTACCTCCGCTTCTACAGCTCTTCTGCATGTGAGAGCGAAGTTCAGCTCACCGAATGAGGCTTTCACGACAATGCTTTCTCCTTGCTTGTGCTTGAATGCACCTTCGCTTATACCAATAATGCAGAGCTGATGAAGTCTTGAAGTCTTTGCATGGCGCACAAGCAAGTCGATCCTGCGCCACTCTCCCGCCGTTGTTCTCATTGCCGATGGAAAACGACGTGATCATGGGGCCGAGACATGCCATTCGATTACTGACATCCTCCAGACGCGGAAAGCTCTTGAGCAAGTTGGCGTATTCAATACTTGCACTGCGCGAAGTCGTCCACTGCAGCTGCTGACAGCATGTAAGAGAACGATACAAGAACATGGCGGGGTCAGATCAAGCATAGACGGACGATGCGTGTCACAGGCTGTCCAACGTTCCGTCATACATAGCATTTTCTCGTCTGTCCATTGACTTGTCACCATCGTGGTTCTGCACGCTGGTCGGCTTCATCGGCGATGAGACTAAAAGAAGGGATGCCGATAGCCCTTTCGAGGTTGATGAGCATCTTTCACAGCATCATTCACGTCGCAGTCCATGGTCGCAATCACTTGATGTAACTGATGTATTGGAAGAAGGACTAATCTATGTAGAAGTCCGAAGATAGAGTGCAGCAGTTGCAGCCTCAGGCATCAGGCACGTGATGGACCCTGATACCTAGGCATATACTCCAAGTCACCCCCTTAGCACGTACATATCGCCATAGAATGAAACAAACAATACAATAGCCATTCTATTAGCAAAGCAAACAAGGGGTATTAGGTAAGTAGAAACAGGTAAACAAACTAGACTACTCTTAGGTTATATAAACAAAGCAAACAAAAGGCCCTTTCTTCTTAGTATTTAGTAGCTAGCTTTGTAGCGCTCTTAATAGCGGCCTTGCAATCTACTAGGTTTAGTTGTTTAATAAAGCGGCCGTACTTAGTCTTATTAAGCGGCTTAGTAAAGCTATCGGCTATCTAATTATATATACTAACCTATTAGACGATAATAGTACTATTAGCAATCTTCTCTCGAATATAGTAGACACGAGCATCTATATGCTTTATACGGCTATTAATAGTAGACTTAGTAATAGCGATAGCGGACTAATTGTCCTCGTAGAGCGTAACTAGAAGAATATAGCCCTTATAACTAATTTCCTTTAAGGAGCGAGCTAAGGTAACTGCTTCCTTAGCCCCTATAGTAAGCTAAACATACTTAGCCTTAGTTAACGATAGTATAACGAGCGTCTAGCGGCTAGACTTGTATAATAGAGGTCCGCCTACGATAGTAAAGTAGAAGCTACTTATAGAGCGGCGAGTAACCGGATTATTAGCCTATAAGGCATTATAGTATCTAGCAAACTTGAGGTCGTTAGCCTCGTTCTAATTGCCTTAGAAGCGTATGCTACGGCTAAGGGTACTAACTAGGTACTTAATTAGCTAAAGAAGCGCGGTATAATGCTCCTCGGTCGGGTTAGAAATAAATCGTAATAATAGGCCGGTAGTATAGCAAGCATCCGGCCGAGTAATTATTACTAGCTAGAGGGCTTTACTAACACCCTCCTAATACTAAGTCTTAAAGGCGGCACTAGCTGTATAGCCTTTAGGTGCGCGTTAAATAGATATCTTAGCGTAACGAGGCGCTATTAGAGTAGCTAGACCGATATAGCTACGCATACTATACTTCTCGTAGAGCCTATTTAAGTAGGCGTCCTAAACGACGTAGATAGTGCGCTTGTTACAGTCGTAGATAATGCGTATACCGAGATAGTAGTAAAGGTCGCCTAGTTCTCGTATATTAAAGCGCTCCTTTAGCAACTAAGTAATAGCTTCTAGTGCTAATAGGCTGTAGGCGATAATAATTATATTATCGACGTAGATAACAATAATCGAGCCGCTAACAACGTGCTTAAACACACAGACGTCGGACATTATTAGAATAAAGTCTAGGCTCTTTAAGTACTTCCGAAGCTCTTTATACTATAGCATTAGTAACTGTTTTAGACTATATAGGGCCTTTAGCAGTAGGCAAACTATACCCTTGCTACTACGGTCTTTAAAGCCGTATAGCTGTTTAACGTAGATCTTGTGCTTGTTACTAATAAGTGCGTTAAGGAAGGCAGTTAGAATATCGTACTGCTTAGCTTCTAGGTCGTAATAAGCGATTAGGCCGAATAGGGCCCGCAGTATAGATAGCTTAGCGATAGCTGTATAGGTCTCGTCGTAATCCTAGCCTTTAACCTGCGTAAAGCTACGGACAACCTAACGAGCCTTAAACCGGCTTATATTTCTATTAGCGTCTCGCTTGATAGTAAAGACCTAACGACTACGAACAACCTTCCTGCCTTCTAGCACCTCTAACTAAGATATATAAACCTATATATAGTTATTAATTAGTAACTTGTATTTAGCCTCGCAAGCTTCCTTCTACTATAGCTAATATAGCGACTAAGTTGCTTCCTTATAACTCTTCGGAATAGGGATAGTTTCTTTAGGCTTGTCGGACTGCTTAGCAATGTAGTAGGAGGCTATAAAGCCCTTAATATAGGCTATCGGTATATTAGCTATTATATATCGAGTCGACCGCTAGACGCTATAATCGGCCAGATATCTACGTAACAGTTTACGAGCGCTCTTGTTGCTTCGTGTCTTGCGTATAGAACGATTGCCTGTCTTAGTTAGCCGCTCAAATTTAGGCAACTAGCTAGGCTCGCCCTTCTTAGCCTACGGGTCGTATACTAGCTATTCTTTAGCAAACTAGAAACTATCTTTATTACTTAAAGGCGGCTAAACAGCTAGAAGGTTATCCTTAAGCGGCAATAGATTAACAACCTTATTAGCTAACTTAATACCCTATATAGGTCCTTATATAGGCTGTTCTTCCTACTAAGCTAGAAGCCGCTAGACTATACTAGCAGCCTCGGTAGGCGACGGAGCCTCGTTGCTTATAGAATTAAACAAAGCCGGCATAATAGACTTAAGGGTAACAAACTCGTTTTCAGACAAGTCGTTAGTGTTAGTGTATGGCTTTATGCTATCTAGAAGTAGGAGGTTACCCCCTAACTTAATAAACTAGACGTCCTTAGAAGCGATAACTTTGTGTTAATTAGGTAGGTAAATTATGTATTTTCCAGAGTCTATAGAGCCTTTAGCATAGCTAACTAGCTTGCTAACTAGGCCTCTACTGTCTATCTTCTTTTCGCAAGTTACACTATAATCGTAGGCAACTATAGTATAGCTATAAGCTCGAAGGTGCTGTAGGCGTAGCTACGTTCGTAACTAATTAAGCTCCTTAGCTACAATAGTATATAGGCTTCCTCCGTTAGCGGTTAGCGTAATATTAAGGACCTATATAGCGGAGGCAATAGTATATAGCTATAGAGACTTTAGAAGGTTAGCGTGTAGCATTATCTTTCTCGTAGTCGTATATACGATGTAATTGCTAACTTTAGTAAAGCTATTCTAAGTCGAAGAATGAGGTGCTATAACCTATAGTATAATGCCCTAATTACGAGCCTAGCTTAACAGCTGATTTCCGCTGTACTTACCCCCTCTATCGAGGCGGTAGATTAGGATTAAGCAACTAGTCTATATACGAATATATATACGATAGTCCTTAATAGCTACTACAGCCCCTAACTTAAGCGTGCTAGTATATTCGTATCGATAGCCTAACTTAGCGTATATAAACAGTATAAAATAGCGCTCCTATAACAGACTAGGGTTAGTAATAGTAACTATATCTATATAGACAATGTAATAGATCGTAGATAGTCGTACGCGTAGCAGCCGATTGTATTCCTTATATAATATAGCTATGCGATAGGCAATGCAGTTGCGGAAGTCGTTCTTAGCGCTAGTAATAACAATCTAGCCCTTAGACTCTATTCTTAGTAGCTTGCGGTAATAAATATAGCTATATCGCAGATGCTACTCTTCTATCGTACCTGTTAGTACCCCCTTCTTCGATAGAAGCGTAACAACCTAGCTATCCGGACTAGAGGTTAGTATACATAGATAGGGGAGACTATTCTTACGGTATGTCTAAGCGATAGTAACCTTATTGCCCTCTACTATCGTAAATAGCACACACTTATTATTACGGTAGAAACAACCCTTGTCGGCAAGCTTCTTAGTAGATAGAAGGTTAGCTACTAGACTAGGCACATACAGTATATTAGACAACTTTATACTGCTTATACTACGCTTATTAACAACCTCTGTCTAAGCTATACCAACTATCGTAGCGTGCTTCGTGTTGCCTCTAAACCGGACAGGGATATAGCAGCCTTTATATTTAATAAGCAGCGAGGGGTTATTAACTATATATATGCTAGTACCTAAGTCGACAACCTAATTAGTAGTCCGAGTGTTAGCAGTAAGAGCCGTAGACACCTAGTCGCTAATAGTAACTATAGTGTTTATAGTAAAGGCGTAATTGTCGCTTAGGCCTAATAACACCCCTAGGGTAGCATTAGCCGCATACAGCCCCTAAGCACCATTCTAACTAGATGGCGGCTACTACTATTGCTAAGCAGTTAGTCTACGCTGCTACTACTATACCCCCTTCTTCTTAGCCTTCTACTATTTACGACGCAGTCGGTCTTCCTCCTTTAGATAAGAGTATTTAGTATAGTAGCGGTTAGAAGGGTAAGTGCCTTAATAGTATAAGCACTTCTCGCGATTAGACTAATAACTATTCTAGTTGCTTCTACCGCGGCCTCGACCGTTGTTATTGTTTCCGCGGCTACTACGACCGCTACGGTTCGAGTTACCTCGACCGTTACTATTGCTACCTTGCTATTATTAGCGCTAGAGACTGAAGAAACTATTATATTAGGCCTAGTTTAGTTAAGCTACATTCTTATTAAGCAACGCGCTAATAATGTTATTAAGGGTGCTATTATTAATAGTGTATTCTAAGGCGCGCATCTGCTTATAGCGCATCTATATAAAAGCCTCGTAGAATAGAGAGATCTGTATAATAAACATATAGACAGCCTAATATTAGCTAATAGCTAATTTAGTATTCTTTAAGGCACCGAGCTTCTTCTTATACTTGTTATAGAACTTCTTAACGTCCTTACTATTATAGTAAAGGGTAATATATTCCTAGTAGAGTATAAACTTAGTAGACCTACCTTTACTAGTATATTTCTTATATAGATAATCCTATACTGCCTTAGAGGTGTCGAGTCTAAGCAACGACTACTAGATCTTAGATACGTAGTTAGCGAATATCTACGTACGCGCCGACTAGTCCTTTGCCTCCTATTTGTCTTAGCAGTCTTTAAATTGCTCCTATGTTTTAGTAGATAACAGTTTAATCTTAGGCTTTAGGCGGGTCCCTTAGATATAGCGCTATATCTATATACCTTTAAAGGCACCCTTAGCGGCGTAGGCCTATACTAGATAATTCTCCTTATTCTTTAGCTTAGGAATATTGCTTATATAAGCGTTAGTAGTAGTAGGGAGAGCTATTACTAATAGCGACGGCGATAATATAGAAAGAGACTATAGACTTATTTTAAGAGGCGTCCGATAGGCGCGCCTATATTATAGTATAGCGGATAGCTAATACTATTATTAGGAACTAGTATAGCGGATAGCTAATACTAATAGTAACCGACTTAAGTCGGACTAGTACCTGCTAGAATACTTAAGAGGTAGTAAGGGTAGTAGCGACGATAATAGTATCGGCGCAATTTTTAGTAACGAGCGCTAGCTACGTAGTAGTCGGATTAACTATTAGAATACGTGTTATATACGTTAGAAACGCAGGGGGCTTATAACCACTTAATGTAACTAATGTATTAGAAGAAGGACTAATCTATATAGAAGTCCGAAGATAGAGTGCAGCAGTTGCAGCCTCAGGCATCAGGCACGTGATGGACCCTGACACCTGGGCATACACTCCAAGTCAATCTTCCTGCGACCGCGATCGGTCCGATGAGAGTGTAGATGTAGGCGCGTCCACTGTGATATCGGAGCCGTGAATGTCTGCCTCCGTTTCCGAATCCTCACCAACACCAACGTCCCGACCAACATCTTCTCTCAAGCCCACTGCCCAACGGCTGAAGTTCTGGGTCAGAAATTCGTGGTCGTCAGGAGTGCAGGAAGCAGATATCTATGTCTCAACGGCAAAGGTACCTGCTCTATTCTACGACCGAGATCGAATCGCGCGGTTCGATGGCACATGCATTTCTCGATCGCTCCAAAATCTCCACTGCGCACGCTCGGAATGCGCTGCCGACAAGCAGCCTTACGGAACTGTTTGCGGCTCTTCCGGTCAGGAGGGGAGGGCCATTATTATTCGGCTCCTGATTTTCGCAAGGCAGCGCGAGAGGTCGGAGGCATCCATGGTTGAAGACACGCGGTGCTCTCTCGATCGAAATCCACCGAGGACATCGGGGCTGCTTCATGACGCACCGCAATCGTGTATCTCTCGATCGCGACTTGTATTGATCGAAATATCGGAAGGCCTTTCCGATACATTGCCGGTCGTGCTTCAGCTAGCCTGTGCATGATGATCTACTCTATGCATACTATATCGAAGTGAGCACTTGATTACTGCACATCTTCACAGCATCACTACTGGAATAATCATTAATGGCTGCTGAACGGATGAAGAAACGGCTTTCTAGAACTACGCCCTTTCCTTTCGCGGATGACGTCGCGTCGATTCGGGCCTCACGGGCACAACGGTCGGCACCCGGAAGCAGAAATCAGGAAAAGCAACGCATTTGATTACTGGATGGCAACGGTCGGAACAGCTTTCGTCATTCCGCTGCACAGAATTATGCTCTTCGCGCAATGGTATGCCTGGTAGCTAGCAATGATCTCGATCGCGTCGGACAGGAGCAGGGATTTGTGACTACACCACCTGTACGATGTGTAGTAGACCGGTAGGGCTGGCCCGGTACAGCGCTGGATTGGTCGAGTACCTGGCGCAAGTTCAAATCGCAACATCTCACTCCGCGGCAGGATCGCTTACAGTAACATCCCAATCCGCATCTCGTCGCCGTCGGCCGAGGGGCAGTCGTAAACCTGCTCAAGCTCTGCTGACCGATCATCCTTCCGCCTTATCATATGCAGGAACGCCGTAGCGAAGCATGTGGTCGAACGAAAGGATGAAGTTGCTGCTAGATCTCAATGATGCATCCTGGCCTGGCCACGAGCACTTTCTTCGAACGGCCAAGCAGCTGGGACATTCATTTCTTGGTGACGCCCTCCTCGCTCAGATCCGTGGTGTGTCCAAGACAAAGTCCTGCCTCGATCCAAGTCGAGGCGTCGCAGGAGCTTGAAAAAGTGGTCACGAGAGGCGGCAGCTTACCCCTTTCGTCCAAGGTCGTTGCGCTGATCGACGCCAACTGGTCGGTGTGCTCAAGACCGTGTGTGCTAGTGCTCCTTGCACACCTCTCGGTCATCTTGGAGCTCAAGCGCAGAGCTGCCAGGTTGATAGAGCGGTGGCGAACGGTACAACGTTCCCATGGCACGCGGCGATTCCATTGTCTGCTGAGCATGAAGTCTATGTCATCCTAACACGCGTACCTGCGCCGAAGGAGGTCGTAGTGGTCAGGCGGTAAGAATATAGGAAACTCTCTTTCCTTCCGACATGTACTATCTTACACCCACTCTCTCGGAGCCCGAACTCAATTGCTTGCTCACACAAGTATCGGCTTGTGTGTTGTAACACTCGACCCCTTGCTTCGGTGTCAGCGAACACTGACGACACTCTTTATCCTCAGATCATCGCTCGCTTGCACGCGCTGATATCAGCAGCACACTCATTGACCTCAACAAGCAGCAGAGCATCGTTATCAAAGACAACATGCTTTCCTCGCCAGGAGGGCATGCAAACACTATGGATGAAAGCAAATGGCCTCTGCAAACCCCACCGACACCACGGCTCACGCTCTCTCCAGCATCATCGAATGAAAGCTTCGATCTACCAATGCCGACAACTCCAAGATTCGTGCCGGCTGAAGCAGAAGCTATGCTGCTACCGGGATTTCATTTCTCCACCACAGATATCAATGTAGATCCCGCTGAGTTCCATCGAGTTGCTGCTCAGCTTCTTTCGGGTGAACCGAGCAAGCGGGATTCTGCGCAATATATGACCGAAGGAAGAGAAACAGTTCAAGAACGACACCTCCACTGCGACCTCGGTAGAGACCCATCTGGCCGATATTGTTGCTCTTGCGGAAAGTCTTATTCGACCGGTCTTCGCCTTTACGAACACACGCAGCAATGCGCTGGTACGTTAAACTACCCGTGCATGAGCTGCGACAAGGTCTTTTCGACGAATGAGAAGCGGGACCGGCATGTCTCTACAAGGCACAACAGCAATCGAGAACCTTGCCCGGAGTGTGGTAAGATGTATCCTGCTTCTTACCTACCAAAGCACTTAGCCAGTGGTCTTGGAGGTTGCGATGGCATGGTGCAGGTGTCGAACAGTCCACCAATCGATCCAATGTATGAATGTCCAATGCGCAAGTCCATGTCTCAGCACTACTGGATCTATGAAGGAGACCATAGCTGGCAAACGCACACCCGCGAATCAAACGACTCTGGATATCAGAGCGACGAGCCTGGGGTTACTGATCAGACCATGGACTTTGTGAAACAACTCCTCCGGCAACCAGGATCTCGCAAGGATCGAATCTCATGCGACCTTTGTGGCGAAAGCTTTAGCACCTGTGGGGATGCGCTGGCGCAACACATGGGAGATCACTCGCTCGACTTTACAGAAAAGCGACACAAGTGCGACGAATGCCGCATCTACTTCGCGAACGAAAAAGATTTGGAGCGACACCTCCAATCTTCCAACCTCAACCAACATTGCGGATTCACATTCCACCATAACGCCAGATGCACCGGCCACCATCCGCCAACCTACTTCAAAGCCGCATTCGTAAACGACCACAATCTCATGCAAAAGCACCTCTGGGCCTGGGAACTGTGCCAATTGCGCAGTCACAGAGTCGCAATTGCAAGAATCCTAGCCGAGAAACTCAACCAAATGAATCCCACCCGTCCCATGCGCATCCAAGATTGTCGACGAACATACGCTTCCATGCTCCCACATTTCTCCATGGCGGCGACTCGCGATAGCGTTCGAGAACTAGACGACCAAGACCTCACAAGTCTAGACAAACACTTCAGCCAAGTCCTCGACGAAGTCTATCCGGAATCGCCACTAGCATCTCTCGGAAATTCCGGCCAACGACGTCCAGATTCTGGCATCATTGCAGCACGACCGGAGAGCAAAAGACTCAGTAAACGTAAGAGTCTCGTCGACCTTGCGAAAAGGCTGAATGTGGAGGAGAAGGTGAAGATGAAACATAAACGACATGCCTTGAGTGCTTCTGGTTTTGCGCTTTTGAGACAGCAGGCTGAAGCCAAAGAGAAGGAGAATCGTCATGCGAGTGTGCCTGTGATGCGTTCGGCGCTTGTTGCAGTTTGACGTGCACCGTATAAGTAAGATTTTTCTTTTTTGGGGAGCGATTTGAGCGACAGCGAGCGGATGGGATTACTGGGACCTGTTTTTCTCTTTTTTTTTTTCGGATTACGATACCATGTTGCGAATAGGGAATGGAATTTCTAGTGTACATGCAGGAATATTCTAGGAGAGGGAGAACTTTTCTTGATCGCAACTCTATTGCTCCCCTCTTTATGAACCAGAAGCGCTCGGGCAACGGAGCGATTTTCAGCTCTCAAGTTCCGCGACCCACTTTTCTGACAGTCAGAAGAATCAGAATGCTTTCTAATCGTACGAACCAACCCTCTTTTGGGAGAAGTTAGGTCAGAAGCTGAGAAGCATCAATGCGGCGTGGCATTGGAAGTGGACTGATCAACTGTTGATGTAAGGGGGGGCAAAAAAACTCGAACTGGTTCCCTTACTTTTTGAGGATGGCTGCTGCTGACTTTCTTTGATCATTTCGGGAAAAAGGCTGGTTAACACACACCGATCCCGCCAAAACCGCAGCGATTTCCTTCTCGGATCTCACGCCAGAAGAGGGTCAGGCGTGGGTGAAGACAAGGGTTCAGCATTCTGGTATGGGGTTTGCGAGTGAGTTGACTCGTGCTGGGTATAAGGATGTCGGTGCTGTTTCGTGGTTGTTTTGTGAGAAGGATTTGTGTATTCCGGCGGAAATTCAGAAGAAGACGATTGAGATGATTGAGAGGGAGAGTGGGAGGGAGGTTGATGTTGCGAGGATTGATGCGGATCATATTCCGAGTTTGGGACCGAGGAGGCAGGAGGTTGTGGATTGGTTCTGGGAGGTTGCTGGGAAGGCATAGTCGTCTCTCCAGATCCATATAAGCGAACAAAGCGTCGGTGGGGGGATAGTCGTGAGCCGAGACCACTCTCACTCACTGCATCAGAAATCCCCATTTCTCCAGAAATGATTTTGCAGGAATCCAAGCATCTGGGTCCCAGGCAGGTCCACCAGGTTTGATATCAAAGCTTGGCTTGGTGAATATGTCGAGAGAAAAGTCCTCTTCATCGATCAACCCGCCCATATTGATGTAGTTGTCTCGCATCTTTGGAAACGGGAATCGATCGATGCCTGTAAGGTGAAGCGTCAAGAGCTGCGTCGCCGTTGGCCGCAAAGATAGTGGTACATCCGGCGAGGCGGGTGATGATCTTGTCGCCACTTGACTGAAGCATGAAAGTCCTAGCACCTTGCCATTGATGAAGAGGGCACCGAAGATGGTGATCGGAGCGGGAATTTCGTAAGCCAAGGAGATTCGCTGTTCTCGAGTCGTGCTCGGCTGTAATGATGGCTTAAGAGCGACTTCGAGATTGCTCTCATTGACATCTCTTTCCAATTCTACTACGAAAGGAGCATCGTAGACAAAATGAGCGATATTTGAGGCCAGTCCATCGCGAACTTCTTGTCGAGTCTTGTCTGTATTCCTCGCTTCTCGGAGACGTTTGCCTATTCACAGCACAAGCTTCAGCCTTGCCGCATGATCACTCGTACATTGTCATATTTGAGCATACGTCTTACTCGTTGAGCCAGCCTGTCCTGGATGCGTTTTCTTTTCTTAGGATCATTCTCTAGATGCCAGTCATCCGAGTGCATTTCAGCTGTGCTTGCGCCTTTTATATATAGAAGTCACTGTAGGTGCTGGAAATGCTTCTGAAAAAGTCAATGAAGGCATAATGTGTTGTGATTAAGCTAAGTAGAACAAGTCATTAATTGATTAACTATAGAATTGCATAAGGAAAGGAATTAAGTTTCTATCTAAGCTAGAGGCTATATATATTACTAGGAAATTAGGCCTTAGCATTTAGCAGTACTAACTAATCTATAATACTCCCCTTCTAGCAGAACCTATTAGAATAAAAGGCTATTTTCCCTTACTTTTCCCTTTCTTAGCTATTATAGGCATTGTTAGACAAAGTATAACTGCCTTATAATTAATTAGATATAAGTGACCTATATATTACGTTCTAAGTAATATAGGGTTGCTTCTCCTAGTTCGCTAATTAGTCTAGTTCTTTTATATATATTAAAGTAAAAGTAAAGTCGTACTTGCTATACGTTTGCTGCTTAGACCCTGTCTTAGCGAACCCTATAGTAAGCCTAGCAGTCTATATTTAAGAAGTACGCTCTCTATTTAAACTTAAACTTCTTCTTTCTACTAACTAATATATAACCGAAATTCTCCGATATAGTTTAATATAACCTAATTTTAACTAGAGGTACTATTATAGCTATAGCAACTTAGCCTAGTCTAGGTAGCCTAGCTACTAGTATAGGTAGTAGTAGTAGCGGTAGCGGAGGAGACGATCCGAATAAGAAGTTGCCTAGTCGCTATAATAAGCAGTAGTTAATTAATAATAGTAAGGCTTTATTAATTAGATACGCCTTCCTATACTAATAGAGAGCAGCCTTAAAGGAGATCGAGATTACCGTCGCGATCCTATAGAAGATCCTAATCGCTCTAGCTAAATCGAAGTTTAACGAGATACCTCCCTAGCTACGCAATAGCGACGTTATTATCTTTATACGTACCTTTAAGCAAAAGGGTAGCAACTCTCCCTTATACCTAGCTATCGTAGCTATAATACGTAGGGCGGATAAGAAGTTTAACCTAGCCTCTAGATCTAACGTTAACTATCTTCCGGCTATACTTATATATACTACTTCTAGTCGCACTGTCTATTAGGGAAATAATAGGTATAAGCCCTATTAGGAGGGTAAAGGTATATATAAGGAGTATATTACTCTAACTATTAATAGGAGCAAGTTTCTTAAGGGTACCTATACTAATTATACTAGCCCGAACTATTATAGTTATTATAACAAGTCGAGTAAGTTAGGTTTAACTTAAGGTCTTAATTAGAAACTAACTAGGTTATAGGCTATATATCGCGCCCTCGTTCGAGCACTAATCGCTAGGCAGATCTTCCGGGTCCTATTAGGCTGCCGCCTCGCAATCTAGGCAGTATAGTAGGTAGTAATTAGCGTCGCCTATATATCCCGATTCCTTCTAGGATTAATTAGAATACCCCGGAAGGCGCTTAGGCGATTGCGAACGCGTTAGCTTAGTAGGCAGGGGTCTATACTACTACTACGATAGCTAGTCGTAGTCGCAATCTATACTCTCGGCTTTCTTCTAGATCGGCTATACTAGTCCCGTCTAGCTCTTCTTAGAGTAGGCTATTAGATCGTTAGGCTAACGATAAGGTCGATAGTAACGAGGAAATAGGCAGTCCTTAAAGGAATAGGAATATTCTTAGAAGGTTAGAGATCCTTTAGATAAAACTTCTAATATATAATTTAAGATTTGTAGCATTAGGGAGCTTCTAGTCCTTATAGATTAGGCAAATCTAGTTTTAATGTTTGTTTCTGCTTTAAGATATTGTACTAAGAGCTAAAAGATTACTCTAGATACCGAGATACCCTAGTAGAGAACTAGAAGAGTAGTTAGTCTATAGAGAGTAATAAAATCAAAATAAGTGTATTAAGTTTGGCTTCCTATTCTAGTAATAAATAAGAATAAAATAAGTGACTTTAGAGTTTGTCCTTTACTAGTTAAGATCCTAGAGGATAGGGTTGTTTAACTTAGGCTTAGTAAGCTAGTCTGCTATTTAGAGATTAGTAGGAATGTACTAAACATTAATCCTCTCTTTATTATACTGCTCTCTATAGTAATAGTTCCTTAGGGAAATATACCTTAACCTACTAGAGTTAGTATAATTCTTTATAAGGTAGATAGTTAACTAGTTATTATAGTTGATTTTAATATAGTTAAACTTAAACCTAGTAAAGCTACTAATTTCCTTAGAGAGGTTCCTTAGCTACTTTAACTCCCTTATAGCTTTAGTAAGTACTATATACTCTACTTTAGTACTAGAGTAGACAACTTCTTTCTATAGCTAGGATCTCTAGAGAACTAGTCCTCCTACTATAAGGAGTAGGAATCCTAATATAGACCTCGAGGTTTTTAGGTTACTAGCGAAGTTAGAATCTAAGTAGACTTTAAGGTAGCTCTTAAGATTAACCTTTCTAGACTTACTCTTTTTAAATACTAGGGACTTGTTAACTATTCCTGCAATATATTTCTAAATATGTCTTACTACTGTAGTATACTCTAGTCTAGGGTTTTGTAGGAATCTAGCTAAGTAGTTAATAGTATAAGTAATATTAGGTCTTGTCTAGTTAGAAAGATACTATAGCTCCCTAATTATCTAATTAAAGAGTTCGTAGTCCTCCTTCTTATAGTCTAGTTCGAAAGCAGTTAGGAGTTTCTTAAGTAGGTACTTTATACCCTTGCATTAGTCGAGACTATACTTTCTTAGCTTCTCTAGAGAGTAGTGCTTCTAGGAGATTCTAAGACTTATGCTGTCTTTAATAATATATAGTCCTAGGAAGAGGTTTGTTTAGACAACCTTAATAGTATAGGTTTTCCTAAGTCCTTCGATTAGCTTGTTAATCCTAGCTTAGGTTTTGCTAAAGATCTAAAAGTTATTAATATAAAGGATAACTATAATCCCTTCTCTAATAAAGAGGTAGGCATCGCTCTTAGTTTTATACAAACTAAGGGTCTTAAGTGTAGCTTTAGTATCGTAGTACTACAAAGCAGCTAACTACTTTATACTATACAAGCCTTTCTATATAATTATATATAGAAATTTCTCTAGGTCCTTTCTAATTAAATGCGACCCCTTAGGTACGTTTATATAGTTAGGTCTATTAATGTCTAGTTCTAGAAATGTAGCCTTAATATCTACTTAACATCTAACCTAGCTAAAAGTAGCTAAAAGTCCTAAGCAGAATCTGCTTATTATAGCTCTTAAGGTTAGAGTAAAGGTTTCTTCGAAGTTAATACCTTTTCTCTAGATAAACCCCTTAGCTATACATCTCGCCTTAAACTTCTTAGTAGAACTATTAGGCAAGCGCTTAATCTTCTAGACCTATTTGCTTAATATTAGTTTTCTTCCTTTTAGGAGTTCCTTAGTAGAGATCTATTTAAGAGTGCCTGTTTTATCTAAAGACTTAAGTTCTTTAGTGTAAGAAGGGTTATGTTAGCAGGTAGATAGGGTAGTAGTAGGTACGAGTAGTATTCGATAAGGAGCTAGGAGGAGAGGGAGGAAGGCAGGCAAGTTGGCCTATTGCTAAGCGCTAAGCCCTGCCTAAGGCATTAAGACCCTAGCTTTACTCGAGCCCGGTCACATGCTAATTACGTGTAACCTCTTTAGTCCTAATATACGCTTCCCTTCTAAAGGCCGCGCCCTCGTAGCCGGTCTTTGTTCTAGTCTTAACCTCTATTACTACTAACTTAGCAGGTCTAATAGGCCGCTTAGTCCGCGCTAAATTGAACGCATAACTACCGATAATGTAACTATATCAAACCTTACCTCTAATATAGCACAATGTCTAACTCTAACTACGCTATCCCTATATATAATAAACTATAAAGTAATATATATCTATAAGAATTAAGGGCCTTCGACTAATTACAATACGAGCGCGTCTTCCCTACTATAACAGGTAGACGTACGAGGTATTATAGCCCTGCCTCCGCTCTAAGTAAAATAAGTGCAGTTTTTATACTAAACTATAATAGCTTGTATATATATATCCGAGGGTTTGTCCGCTTCCGAGGGTTATTGTTCTTATTATTACGAGGACTATTATTTACTATCGTAGTTTTACTAGCCCCAATTAGTTAGGTTTAGCAGCCTTTAAGTATTAACTAATTATATCTTTTCAAAAAAAAACACAGCTCGTCTAGTTTCTATAGGTAAAGGCTATTGTAAGTGCAGTAGTAGAGGTTCGCCTCGCTTAAAGGGTTAGAAAGATCGAGGAGTAACCTATTGTCCGCAAGATCGACCCCGGCTAGCTTAGCTCTATAGTTTTGCCCTTAGTTAGTCTATTAGTCGCTTAATCTTTTAGGCGGCTTAAAGTTTTGATCAAAGTTTTAATTAAAGGTGCCTTAGGCTCGTAGTGTAGGTAAGGTTATACCCGTAGGCGCAGTAACAATAGCAAGTAATATTAACAATAGCGGTACTAGCCGTCTTAGCGCTAACTTTACCTTGCTTCTAATTCCCTTCTTTAACTAATAACAACTCGGCAATACCGTTACTAATATAGCGGTGTCCTTCCTTTCTTAAATAGCAACATACCCCGTAATACTATTACTAATATAGCCGCGCCGGCCGCGCCGTCCTTCGCTAGCTCGTAGCGCGACGCTATCGTCTTTATTATCGTTATTCGTACGCGCGCGCGCGCCCTTATCGATCGCTTAGGCCTTAGGGCCTTAATAGAATAAAGGAACAAGAGGGGCGCTAAGAGAAGGGTCTTATAGGGTGCGCTAGTAAAGAGGTGGATTCTATAATAGTATAGTCTTATTGTCCTTTGTTACTAACAATTGCTTGCCTCTAATTAGTTAGCTAATAGCATCCCGGGGGTAGCATTAATCCTAGGCCTTAATAGTGACATTATAAGCTTTTAGCCTTCTTCTTGTTCTTTACGCTAGTCTAATACTTATCTAATAACTCGGTTATATCCTTAAAGGAACCTTCAGCTTCCTACGAGTCCTATTTAGGTAAATAGCCTTGCTATCTTAACAG